GTATTTGAAAAGCAGTTTTTCATGCATTAATTGTTTTCAGAAGCTGAAAAGGTATGACTTGTATCCATGTTGAAAAAACTTCACATTTCAGAAAACAGTATGATTAAAAATAGTTAATCAAGGTGCTTTGAGTAGCAAAATAAGCTAAACTGGTATAGCTAATTCAACCACAGAGCTTAGTGAATTTTAAAATGCACAACCTTTTCAACTCTTAATCATTCTTAAAATATTTATATCATCATTTCTGATTCAAGGGAGAACTAGAGATATGATCAGAAGTATATCCATTGACTAATAAACATGTACATGTATATTGTGTTTTTTAAGTCATTAATGTTTGTTTGTTGTTAAATGTCCCTCTTGGGAATTTTTCACTCATACGGAGACACCACCACTTAAAAATAATGAAGACGTACAAGTCGGATTTAAGGTTAACATTCATTTTAGGAATTTTCAACAATTAATTAAGACGTAAAGAGATAACTCCTTCCCCTTGCCCCTTCCCAGACCCCAGTTTGTTCATGTATGCAAACTAGTCTAATACTTTGGTTTGACATAAAAAAAAATGTGAATACATACAAATAGTTTAATGGTCCATCTCTTTGAATGATTTTCATTCCTAATTCTAGGTTGACCCAAATTCATGAATGAAATGTCAAGTAATCTTATCATTGATGCACTTCTATTTAATTTGATGTAGTCATATTATGAACAAGAGAGTGGGGATGACCTCAAGGGTTCATAACCTTAAACCATTAGATGTACATAACATAATAACACAAGAAACAAAATTATGTCTAGTCAAATGGAAAAATTTTCTACTATTTAGGAGTCGCATGATCATTTGTCATTTCAGGGACAGGGAGCGGCTAGGGAGATTGGACCCCCCCCCTGGAATTTGCAGAGTTATTTAAATAGGACTATATACTGATTTACAGAAGCAAATAAAAAATGACTTTGGATGCCCTCCCCCTTTAAAAACATGGACCCCACCATCATTGTTTTTATTTTGTTTGTTTGTTTGTTTTTTTTTTTTATTTTGCTCCTCAGGAAATTCTGGGCTGGAATTTTTTTGGACCGAGGTGTGGACCCCCCTCCCCCCCGGAAAAAAATTCCCGGATCTATGCCTGTAACTGAATGTAATGTCGACAACGGGAGATAACTCTTCAGAATGTGAAATTCGTCTATTGTGGCATCGATGATCCACTCTCTACGATCGGCTCATACATTCAGTGTCTGAGAGAGAAACGAACGACAACTCTGCATAGGAGATTGCCGATGATCTTTGATCCTTTTTAAACTTTAACCTAACCATTTGCATTTTGGTTTATTTTACCCCAATCTATACTTAAACTTGTACTTACCGACTGTCATAGGTCCTGTCAACTTCATGAAATATAATCCAATTAAAACACAAAATGAATTAATTTCCACTGATATACATGTAACACTGCACCATGTCACATGGCATGTGCAATCTAAAAATGATAATGGTAAAACTAGTACTAGTACTGGTAGGGTGACGCAAGCCCAATGTGATGTAGAAATTTTCAAAAAGGTGTTCACATACATGTACAGTACAAGAACAAATTTTAAATTATCATAACAAACGATGTTTTAACATAACTTTGCTATCTAGGCCTATTTCCAAAAACAGGCAAATTGTGTGTGTGTGTATTTGGGGGGGGGGGGGGGACACATATAAATTGATTGGGTATGGCTTTTCAAGGAGGTTTTTGCCTAATCAAATACTAAAAAAAGTTTGCACATTTTGATAAATTCATCAAAAACGCTTTGTACTAAAATAATATTATTTGTTGTTGAGAAGATAAATTTAATTTAAAAAGTTCCAATTATGGGCCAAAAATTTATATCCCCCCCCCTTTTTATTAAAACCTAATTTACAACATTAATTAAATTCTGATATTTCAGACTGGTAATGAATTAAGTATATGAAATGCGTATAAGAGGTTCATGGGTCACATGGTCACCTGAGCATTTTATGCTCGATTTGACGAATACATGTACTGTGTAAATTATAGAATTATTTGGACTTTTTCCTTGGTAAGCCCAATATGAAGGAGTGTGCATTTAGAGGCAAACACCTTAGTGCGGGTATTACTGTCTCATGACAGCATCTAGTAGTATTTGTAGTTAGTGAAAGTACCTTAGCTATGTTCTGTTTATTTTGTATGAAATTCATCTGCAACAACTATCAATATACTATTGCAATGAACTTTTTTCTTTTGTTAGAATAAATCCTGTACCAGCTAGGTTTTTGTAGCTAAATTGATTGAAGATCTAATTGATGCAATCACAATTTTCAAGTTAATATCAATTATAAGCATTTTCAAAAGAAATCAGTACTTTTTTCTAGGCAGAAAATCAACTGACACCTTTGGTTGCAAATTTTTTTTCCCCAAAACTGAATCTACACATCTGAGGATGCTCTGTATGAATATGACTAGCATGGTTTTGCTGATCTTGGGAAGATTTTTAAAGTTTTTTTCTCCTTATATATTCCAATGTAAAACAATGACTGCCCTTTGTGGCCCCAATCTTTCCCTGGGGGTCATGATTTGAACAAACATGAATCTACACTACCTGAAGATGCTTCCATATGAATATGATTAATCATGATGTTGCTGTTCTCGAGAAGAAGACTTTTCCTATATATTCGTTTGTAAGACATTGATTACTCCTTGTGGCCAAATCCTACCCCTGGGGGGTTACAATTTAAACAAAGTTGAATCTACACTACCTGGGCATGATTCTGTACCAATATGACCTACCATGGCTATCCAGTTCTTGAGAAGATTTTTAGAGATCTTTATCTATTTATTCCTATGTAAAACTTTAATCCACCAAAATTATTAAAAGAAGAATGTTCTAAACTGTACCCTGATGTCAAAGTAATGACATTGAGCAGATTACTACTGGAACATTGTAGGATCATATCAAACTGGGGTGCAGTGAGGTTCCTCTTTGGTACTGGCATCAAGTAGGTCAGTCTGGCATTCCCCAGGGTCAGTTTAAATAGAAGAGGTAGAAGTCCACATGAGACAGCAAGAGATAAGTCTGAAGGCCCATACTTCATTGTCAGGGAAAATATTGTCCACAGCAGCAGTTTCTTGGACTCCCCTTAAAAAAAGCACACTCAATTTACAACTGTGAAATAGTCGAACATTCTGTATACATGTATTGTTGCTTGATCTAGTGCTTTTCACTTAAAAATTAAGAGAAAAATTTACCTGGTTTAATGTTTACACATCTGTCAGTTTCTATCAATGCTGACACCAACAGTTCATAAATCTGATGGACAGTTAAAAGAATATCTTGCTGAACTTCTGTCTTTGCTGCACTTATTCCATCCTACATGTATATATGTATTAAATCTTTGTATTCAATATTACATATTATTGAAAATGACACATTACATGTGTGAATTATATTCATTGAAATAACAAGAACAGCTCAATACATTTTATCTTTACCTGATAATGGTACAACTGGGAACCAAAGTTGAAACAGCCCATCATTAGCTGTATATGTGCAGAACTTAAAAGAGTGGAGGGGGTAGGGCTCCTTTCCAGGTCAGACTTGGCAGTGTTTGTTGACAGTAGCTCTTTTATTTGATTCAATGCCCTCAACCGAGACTAAATAAATATACTTTGTTATTTCTTTAACATTTATCAAATTAAACAACAGGAATACATTGATAACTTCAAGCATTAATCAACATAGGGTTTTTTTTTTATATTTTCATAATGAATCTTTCATTAACTTTTAAATGTCAACTTCTGAAACTTACAAAGTACATCATTTTGAGATGTCACATACTGTACAAAAAATCTGAAGAAAATTATTTTACCTCCGCTTTTTTCTGCTGATCATCTAATGCCAAAGCCATTTCTCTGGGTTCCACTTCCCAGCTGATGGAAGACTCCTGACCTATGGAGGGGCTTCCTATTTTCTCCCCACAAACAAATTTACAAAGATCAGAGGCTATCTGCTGTACAAAGGTTTTAATACTGTGAGCTTTATGGTGACTGTGCGGTACTGTGGAACGCTCCTGCTGCCATCGGAGACGACGTAGCATTTCTTTCACTCTCTGAAGGGAAGCCACATTTGTATCTACGAAAAAAGAGAATGTTCCTTTACCTCAGTTCAGTTTTTGTTTCTAATATAAAGACGATTATAAAGATGTGAAAAGGTACCATTAGGCTAGTCTTAAGATTCAACACAAATTTCATCAAGAAAAAATAGTCTTACAAATCAATATACATCATGTGGTGCCGCACCACTTAAGATTACCTCTTCTATTGTGATCTGGTGTAGAGGCACCATCTCTCACTTCTTCGCTCTACAATATATTTTCAAAATTCAATTTATGACAAGCTATTGCACACGTTATTCAGAACTAATTTATGTAAACTGTTTTAATCATACATGTGTAAGTGGTTCACCTGTTAGAAGGCTTTATACTTAATTAAAGCATGTCTTACACCAATAAATTTCATAAATATTCAAGGCAATCTAAGACAACAATTACCTTTTCGCCTTGTGACCCTTTCTGTTGTTCTAAGACAAGTTTGCTGGAGGGAGATAAATCAGGAACACTTCCTCTTCTTCTCAGTCTAATATCAGGTGTCCCTGTGGCCTCACAAGATTTGCTACTAGATTCTATAACAACAGTATTATAAGTTAATTTACTGTAGAGTTACAGTAAATACATGGGTTTTTTTTTTTTGGTTTTTTTTTTGAGAATGGGCGTATGGATGTATTTGTCCTGCTAAAATGAAAATAAAGGACCAAGCTAGGTCTCCAATGGGCATAAGCTCTGCATGGATATTAAATGTTATATTATCAGCCATATCTTCAGCAGTTGGTCAACTTATGGTGTATTTTGATTTTTTTGAAAAAAAAGTGGCCTCTTTATACTGTAAATGTAAATAAATAAGTCTGCACAAAATTAAAAGCAATTCTCCTAATCAACTGATTAATTATAAATTAGTTCATGTGGAGTCAGGCTTCTAAATGTATTTGTTTTAAACATATTAATTAGGTGGGCAAAAAGGAGTGTGAAAAGCACTTAAATATCACTACCACTAAATTAAGAACAATTTACAGTAAACACTAACCGAATGAAAACTAAGGATGTACATGTAGTAATGCATAAATAATTTTGATTATACCTATTGGCAACTCCTCCGTTTTCTTAATGTGGGAAAGAGATAGTGTCTCTACAACAAATACATAATAAATATAAGGATTTCTATAAAAATTAACTAAGTCCACAAGGTAATTTTTAAACAAGCACTCTGTTTTATTTAATAAATTTATAAACAAAATGTACCTGAGACAGCTGGTCGAACTCCTAACAACAGAAATAAACACCTTTGTTGATACTTTCTACATTCTTCTTCAAAAGTTGTTTCCTTCAAAATCTGTGGTAAATCTTTGATTGTCCCTTCGTCATCTACAGGCAAAGAAAATTTACAACATTTAAGATGTGACATCTAAACCAGCAATATAGAAGCTTGCAATGTCTGTAACAAAAACAATGTGCATTTGACAATGTTGAATTTCCATATATACATGTATGTACTAAAATGATTGGGAGAAATTACACTAAAAATGCTATTTTATACTGTATAAAATTAAAGTTATATATCTGTTCAAGACTTGTTCAAGAGTTTATATGCTGGAAAAATTGGCATACCCACAAAAAATATTATTTTGCATGTATTAATTCATCAACCGTCAAATTGCTTCTCTGAATTTACATGTGTATACATGTGTGTGCCATTTGAAGATGAACTTCACAAAAAAAAAAAAAAAAAAAAAAAAAAAAACAAGAGGCCCATGGGCCACAACACTCACCTGAGTAACTATGGCCCTGCTTTTCTTCAACAGCAGAATTTTTCTCAATATATTCCTGAATAAAACTAAGATAATATATTGTGGCCCAAATCTACCCCCAGTCCAACACTACCCCCAGGTGTCATGACTTGGAACAAACTTGAATCTGAAGATGCATTTATAAATATATGATTAATCATGGCTTTTCTGTTCTTTTCAAGAAGACTTTAAAACATTTTTCCTATATATTCTTATGTTAAACTTAGATTGGCCATTGTGGCCCAATCCTGCCCCTGGGGGTCATGATTCCAACAAATTAGAATCTTCACTACCTCAAGATGCTTCATATAAATATAACTAACAATTGCTTCCCTGTTCTTGAGAAGAACAATTTTAAAGATTTTTCCTATGTATTACTAGGAAAAGCTATGATCGCTCATAGTGGCCCCACCCTACCCTGCTGGTCATGATTTGGACAAACTTGAATCTACACTCCTTGGGGATGCTTTCATCTGAATTTGACTTATCATGACCTTGCTTTTTTTGAGAAGAATTTTAAAGTTTTTTTCTATGTATTCCTATTTAAAACTCTGACTGTCCACAGTGGCCCAACCCTACTCCTGGGGGTCATGATTTGGACAACATTGAATCTAAACTACCTGAGGATGCTTCCTTATAAATATTACTAATCATGACTTTGCTGTTCTTTAGAACAAGAATTTTAAAGATTTTTCCTAAGATTTCCTTTGTAAAACTTTGATCGCAAAAAGTGGCCCCACCCTATCCCTGAAGGTCATGAATAAACTTGAATCTACACAACCCCAGAAAGCTTTCAGATAAGTTTTATTTTTCTGGCTCTTGAGAAGTGGTTCTTGAGAAGAAGATTTTTAAATTACCCGACTTAATTTTCACTATTTCTTAATTCTCCCCTTGGAAGAGGAAGTGGCCCTTCATTTGAACAAACTTGAATCCCCTTTACCAAGGGATACTTTGTGCCAAGTTTGGTTGAAATTGGCCCAGCGGTTCTGTAATGTGAAAAGTTTACGACGACGACAGACAACGGACAAATTTTGATCAGATGAGAAAAGCTCACCTGAGCCATAGGCTCAGGTGAACTAAAAAGTTGAATTGAGAATCTTGAGTTTAATTTTCCTGGCCATATAACTACAATATATACGTAAATTTATTGATTAAATAAAACTTTCTACCTGATATGATACCATCAGACACAGCTTCCTCCCTCTCATGCTCCTGATCTGTGGACTTCTCTACCCCCATCATCTCTGTTCTTTGTGGGGACTCTACAGACTCTGCAGAGTCCTCCTTTGGCCCAGTCTCCTCAAGGGACTGTTGCCCTTGACTGGACAGGGAACCTGGTTTTGCCTTATGGTGCTGCATTAAGCAACTTCTTACTCTGTATATGTACTGGAAGATGACAAGTAATGTTTTTGGGGGGCTGAAATAAAACCATATCAAATGTGACACAGACACTCCTCCAGTCTATGCAGTCTATAAGGGGAATTATTTTCCAAACAACCTTCATAATAATTCTTCAATTCTATTATATTGTAACTTAATTTATATAACTTTTATTCAAATAAAAATTCTAACTGATACCTGTTTTTAGATACATATTCCTTGCAGGTACAAGAACCATTCTGAATCAGCAGTATCTGCCAGAAATTTGTATTAAGCATTTATCAGTACTTTTATTTACCTTTTTCTATGCAAGGCTACTTTGACTAGATTACAGTGTTTCAACAAAGCACACAAGAGACATCTGGTCATGGTATCCAATTCCTCATCATTGCTTATTTCTGAGGTGTCCCAGTCTGTCAAAGAAAATCTCATACCTTGTGGAATTTCCAAAAATGTATCCACATTTATTTATATTTTTCAAAAAAAATATACATGTATGTAAATGTATTTCAAATGGTTATGTCATTATTTCTTAATATAAATTTCATCTGTTTATTCTTTAAATTTTATAATTATATCTTTTTTTTTATTTTACATAAAAGTGCACCAGTCACATTCTTTTATTTTTATTGGAAGAGTTACAGTAAACAACATGAAACCTGCATGTGTGTATTATATACCCTCTCTAGATGCATAATCTTGCATGGTTTCCCAAAGATTGTCTGTAGCTTCTGACTTCAGTCCACAACAGAACTCCAACAATACTACATCATCTGCATTCAGATTCAAATCCTCCAGTCCTACCAAATGATGCTTACTAATGCAATCTAAAACTAAATGAATTGCCTCCTCTGAAAAAAAAATACCAGCTTGATTACTGTATGCTGAAAAATGTTTTTCAGTATCTTAGATGAAGACTTGGGCATAATATATTCAACATACGTGTATGTCTCTCTGCAGCTATAACCTAATTCTTGACATTTGAAGATATCAATATATATAGTTCATGTATAGTCAAATGGTAGCTTATATCTTGAAAATACATGAATTTTTTTATTTTGAACCATGGTCATGTTCCATGTTGGCAAGTATGCGTGCAATTTTTCAAGCAAGTATTGAGTTTGCATCTTTTGGGAAATATAAATCCACTAAAGAGAGCTTCAATTTGGTCAAAAATTTATACATGCTCTACAGCATTTGTTTTAAAGAACACAATGTCTTTATACATGTATTTACAATTTATTTTCCATCTTCATAGGGTTGATACAAACTTAATAATAAATAAAATACCATTTAAAAAAAACTGTAAAAATCAAGCACAAAAACCTACAAGTTAAAAGTTTTGAACAAGCATTACATTTACCTGTCTTCTTAGAGGTAATTTCAGCACCATTTCCAAACACTGGGTTTTCCAACCAAGGGAGACAATTCTTCTCCTGTTTGGACATCTGATCTCCAACAAGCATTCCACCAAGACACTGACCAATCAAAGTAGCACATGTTCTCTCCATATCCACCAACCAGGACCATTTCTCAAGTGTGTCTTCTGTATTCTCTGCAAAGTATCCATACCATAACAAATGATTCAGTTGTTTTGTAAACACACAATGTGCCTCATGAAATATTGCAGAAAATGAAAAATTTCATATGAGGTGGATCTTGCTGTCGATTAAATCACAGCATATTTGAGTACAGTATATACTTACTTTATGCCTATAAGCAAAATGGTCAAACTGTTGTCCCTCTGTGGTGGGGAAGACCTTGGAAACTGTTATCCTACATGTAGGTGTCCCAGTCTTCCCCACTTCAGAGGGAGAAGTTTGACTGTTTCCCAAGAAGAATTGAGATAATTTTTTATAACTTAGCCTGCTATATAATTATTTAATAATATAGGCCTAATAATGAATAGACTTGTTAAAAACTTTACTTTCTGATACAACAGCAAAACAGTTTGTAACATTTCATGTAAACTTGAAATAAAATTTAACAAGTTTAAATTAATTCCCACACAGTTTTGTCTTATATCAGAACTAAAAATGGAGTAATTATCACTACTGATAACGGTGTTTTAAGATATATTACTTAGGAAACAACATCATGATGATGAACAATTGAAGATCACGCTAAAGCTTTAGGCATGCAACAGTTCATTCTGTAACCAAAATACAGTTTGACTGTTAACAATATGCAAAAACAATTTTGAAAATACATGCATCAGGAAACAGTTCAAAGTGCTAATTTACATTTTATATAGTGGGTTAGGTAATATTTTTAACCCTTACATTTAAAGTTTCTTAGAGACTTCAGCCCTTACCTTCCAACTCAAATGCTTCAAATTTACAGATTTCAGGTAATAATTTACAAAGCTGGTCTGTAACAGAAAGGAGGGGCAGAATTTCTGGCAACATTTCACTGATCCAGTCTAAAGGTAACATCAAAAGTGCATTCATAATGTGGAACATCATGGCTCCTGCTGGAGAATTGTACAAAATATCTGAAAATAAGTAATATTTAATCAATATTTAATGAAATTAATAGTCACTGATACTGTATAGAGGGAAAATAACTCGTGGTGTAAATATTCACTATGCTCATGGTGTTAACAAATCTGTAAACTCAAGAAACAGTGAAGAAGTATTTTTAAATTTTTTTCTGGGGGGGGGGAGGGGTGAGGGGAGGGATATAATTCCAGGCTACCAGTAGGTAGAGGTGGGATGATATACCGATACACCAATATTTTCTGTGAGGAAACGGTTTACAATACATGCATTGAAATACAGCCAAGAAATGATACATGAGCTACCTATCAAACAATTGAAAATGTAAGTACATGTAGTTGTCTTGGAAAATGACGCTGTGTAAACGAACCTAACGAAGCAAAGAAAGGATATTGATATTGAAAATGTGCTTTAGGACCAACAAATTGTAAACATGGGGGAAGCATTTTCAATTTTTTAGCATCCTAGGAAGACTGGGCAAGAAACGTTTACAAAAGTCCAGCAGTCTGTAAAGTGTGTTATATACAGAAAGTATCTTTTTCCACAACGGGGGATATTAATATTCATTAGTGCCCATCTAGCACTAGCAGCTTGGAACAAAGCATGAATTCTCTAATTTTCATTAAAAAAATTGAAATTTTGAAACAAATTGTTGATTTATTTTTTATTTAATTTATTTGTAAACTCAACTTGGTTACAGACTTTTAGCAATTAATAATTATGTACATGTGGTATTGTTTTTTGTGAATTTTTAGTCAACGATATTGATAAACTACATAATTTCAATAGCTAATGCTAATTCTTTGATCAAAACACTGTACAAGGGTCTCGGTGTTGATTACCGGCACATAAGTAACATTATCACAGGCACTTGTCATCTGATTTTATCGACATTTTGAGTAACCCATTTTTTTTTATTCTTATTAAAAAAAATTCTCCGAGTTCCTTATGCTAGGAGATATTATTTCGTTAATGCAACACTTTGACCTAATGGTTTTCGTTGTGATGTCTTATTCCTTCGAAAAGGAGAATTTTGGATGACAAGTGTTGGTCTTGCCTTAGTATAACAACTGTGAGAGAAGTATGACACCACTCATCGTAATAGCAAGCAGGGACGTCATACAATGTTTACTGTCAAAGCTGTTTAACTACACTTCTTTTAATCCTATCATTCTTTCAATATTGCTGAAGATAGGGAAAAAATCCAGGAAAGTAGTTTGAAATTAATTTTTTTTAATTTTGCACCAATTCCGCGAATTTATCAAAACGCGATTGTGTCAGGAGAGAAAAACATGAAAATTGCAACCTGTGGAATTAATCCCCTATACATTAACTCACAATTTATCCATGAAATATTGAAGAAACACTTCTAATATAATTATTAATAACAAGTAAGATTTTCATATTGCATTTTTAGGGTATACTTCCACTCAGAGATCTATATATCCACTATCTTAAACAAAATTAATAATTTTTGCATCATTTACCTTCAATGGCAATAATCACACTCAAATTACACTTCTCATGTTGTAAGAGCACCAGAGCTTTCTCAAACAGATTTTTGGTGACAGAAAACATCAGAGATGTGTGTTTAAACAGAAGATCAACTGTCAAAGAATCGTGTGGCTTCCAAGGCTGCTGGGTGAAGCAGTAGGCCAACAAATGTTTCTGGAGAGATGATAAAAGATTGTGAAGGTGAGGGAAAGCCATCATGAACATCTTATGTTCAAATTCTTTGTCCAAATTCTTCTCCAAGTCATCTAAGGCCTCCTCCTGCCAAATACATGTAAATAACTCTTAATTACCTGTACAATGTACTTTTGTTACTGTGCACAGCATGAATATTTTACTCTTGATAAAATGACTAAGAATTCTCCCTGACTTTCAATATTTGAATGAAATAATAAATGTGATATTGGTATTCTGAAAATTTTTCATTCCTTTCACATCATATTTTTACGAAATATATGTATAAAGAATCATATAAAAGGGGCTACACACAAAATTCAGAAATTGTACATTAAAGCTAAAAAAATACACTTTTTACAAGCACCTTTTTTTTTTTCAACATACAATCAATGATTTACATGTGTATTTCATCGCTCTAAAGACAAATTATTATAAAATGTTATTCAATTTTTTTTTCTGCTATGTACCGTCTCATTGGCAAGATTTCTGAGAATTGTTTTCATGAGGATCTCTGCAAGCATCAAATCAACAGACCCATCACCAGGTTGAGATGAAGCAAGGTTTTCTGATGAATCCGAGAATCCAAGGAGTGTAGAGATGTGATTGTTATCGTATAGACTCGTTAATATCAAACTCAACTGCATTTGCTGTAATGACAATGACTTCTCATTACCAACTATACAAATTTCAGTTTTGAATTACAGTATTAAAAAAAATTACAATGTATAAAAAAAATAACGAAGCAATATAATGATTTTCAATATATTTAATTACTCAATTTTTATTTGCTGCAATGAACTGTTAAGATATAAAATTAATGAAATGCAAGCTCATTCAATAAAATAAAGCAATATTAAACTTAATAGCATTAATTCAAGACCATATCTTGGACGTTTGTAAGTGAGCCTGGCAGTAGATACCTTTCCCCTAGACAAACTGTCCCATCTTCCCTGACCCTGAGGAAGCAGTGAATGTAACAGCTCCATTCTCTCCCTGAGGGGAGGGAGAAGAAGAGATGCTCCTACTCTCAGAATTTCTGAAACAGTCTGCAATTCAAAATTAGACAACCATCATCCAATAACACATTTAAGACACATCTACATGTAGGTTTATGAATGTTTCTCCACAAATCCTTGTAAAATTTTAGTGATAATGAACTCTGGTATAACAAATTTATGGATATAATCATAAAGTGTATACATGTAACCTAAACCATTCTTTTTCATATTACTGTATGGTAATCAAAATATAATATACAGGTTCTTGGCAAATAAGAAAGATAAATAAGCAATTTAACAAGAACTACTTACATCTCTTATGCTGTCTGGAATGTTGGAATCCAGAAGTCTGAACAGTAGGTTTCTTAGCTGCGGTGCCTGGTCTCCCAGAACTGAACATGTCATACCCCCAGCTAGAGCTAGAGATAAGTGAGTGCTCAACATCTTCAAACACAGCTGGACAAAATGACGGTGCTCTCTGTTAATAGGAAAACAGGACTTTTTTGCCAAAAGATGGAACAAATGTATGAAATATTTACAATTAAAATATAATTACACTGTACAATATATGCAGAAATTCATAACACTAACAGAATTTCAACTCTGCATGTCTCTGAGAATTTATTCCAATATGATGTATGCAATTCTTTTACCTGTGTGAATTAAATGGAGCAGGTGGAGACTCTTCATCAAAGCCTGAACAGAAATTTTCCAGAAATGTCCTAATAATGGCAAAGGTAGCCTCCTGTAAATCCACACAAAAAGGTCTTTGCCAAGCTACCACTGGTCTGAAATATGACAGCTCTTTTTTATTTAATAATATGGTTCTGCTTCTTCTTATACATTGTAAACTTTAAATGCATTTTTTCATTTTAACTTCATCTTTTTAATCCATAAACAAGAGGCCCATGGGCCCTGAAGGTCACTATATATAGTTTCATGAGATTTTTTTCAAAAAAGAACACTGAACATACATATACAAGTGCTATATAAATCAGGGCTCGACATTAACGCTTGTCCGCTTGCCTGGTACCAGTGAACGAAAATTACAGACAAGTGAATATTGCTGGGCACTTGTCCAATTGGACAAGTGCTTTTTTATGTAAAGAAGTCTCCAAATAATAAAAAGAACAACAGGTGAAAAGTTTATTGGTAGTTCAAAGACAGAAGCAGTGCATGGAAAACGAACTTTGATAACGATATCTATCGCTATGTAATTGAGTCACTTTAGATCGGGATCAAAGTTCACTAATTGCATACTACTTTCAATTTTAAATTTCAAAGGGCCAAAGGTATGGATCTTAGGAAGTTTGGATTCTCTAGATCGAGCACAGTTTCATGTGTGAACATTTCTGTTGTTGACATGACAGGAAGTCTATATAAAATTTTGTCCTCAAGCACCTGTGAATAAGATCACAAATCAATCAAGCATATACATGTATATACAGTGCGGACTCGTTATTACGGTGACGGTTTTATAAGATAGAACGCTTATTACGTTGTAAATTCAAAGCACAAAACCATTTCTTAACAAATCTATACAAAATAGAACTGTTCATTACGATGTCCTAAAATGCCGGGACTCGGTAATACGATGTAAAAATTCTGTCCAAAATTTTTTTCACCCCATGTTTATTCAGTGTTGATCGACTGTAGACACTTAAGGAGACGCTAAATAAACATTGAAACACCTGTGCTCTGACAGAGTGTTAACTTGCAGGGCCGTTAGGTGATTGGTAGACAGACATCTCGGCCCAACGACACCTCGGCCCGTCACGTTTGACACCTCGGCCCTAACAGGTCGGCCCAAGATAATTGACACGTCGGCCCATATAAAAGACTCCTCGGCCCAAGCAAAATTTTGTGATAGAAATAATTAATCCAGTGTCTTTCTGACGATTTAACGATTTTCTTCATAAAAATCAAATTGGGAAAGGGTGGGGGTCTATGATAGATAATTGGTTCATTTCTATTTATAACTAAATAACTAAAATCATATACCTCCTTAACTTGCATCTCTTTCATGTGGAAAATGCGCAATATATATGCTAAGTAATACTATATTCAACATACTAGCAATTTCTCTGACGATTTGAAACATTTGAGATAGGTCAATAATCCGTGCATGAAAAGAAATGGATTACATTTAAACATTTTTTTTTTTTTTTTTTTTTTTTGGTGAGGTTAAAGCGAGAATAAACAGATGCAACCTTTATAATTTTTTTTATCTACAATATGGTTGAAACCATTAATCTTTCTTTAAAATTTTATGTTTCATTGACTGAAAAGCACACATTGATAGAAGAAGCGTAGAGAAAAACGGACTCGAGATAGTTTAGCGATGTAAATGAATTTATGAATGTACAAGGGACATTTAAAAGTTCTGTTAACTGTTTGATAAAATGTTAACTTTAGTGAGTGTTTACTTGGGAAATAAAATAGAAAATATCCAATGGATGTAAATGTACTGACTCACAATTAAGCATGCTCGTAATTAACACCTCATTGTCACCAGTATAATACACACTTGACACTCCAAAGGATGCGCCGTGGCATACTGCATGTTGTTTATCAATTAGCAGTTTAATTATATGTCTTCTCATTCCTTGATTATAGTCAAAATGCTCATGGAAGGTTTTTTATAATCTAAAAAAAAAAAATTGATCGCATATTCGATTATTTTTTTCAACCAATATTTTATTTAAGTCGCAATTTGGAAATATAATATATTTCGTAATGAAATTTTGCTTGGCCGAGATGTCTTATAGATGGGCCGACCTGTCTTAAATCTTGGGCCGACCTGTCTGAGCCGAGGTGTCATTGGGCCGAGATGTCAATGGGCCGAGGTGTCGTTGGGCCGAGGTGTCTGACATTCTGGTGATTAGTGACGCTTGAATGCACACACCTTGACTAATCTAGCGAGGTCAGCAGAATTGGAGACGTGCCAAAGCCATTGTTAAACAATTAAACTGTTTATTTATAAATGTAGTCTCTAGTTTATCTATCTCTGTAAAGTTTATTTTATTTTTTTTTTACTATGGATAATAAGTAAAATTTATTTATTAAATAAAGGGTTACATTTAATCGTATGCATGTATGTTAAATATGTAATGTGTAATTTCGTTTGCAGTTAAACAGCGGGAATTGACAGCTTGGGTATCAAACATAATTTTGGCAAAATTTGAACTCCACTAATGTTTTAACAGCTTTGATAGTGGCTTGGACTACCTCACAGGTGTCAGCAGAAATACAAATCGATAATTGCTGAACTGCTAATTGAACTCTGTTCAGTCCTTTAAAAATTCAAATTTATTTTGACATTTAGCTTGTGTGTTCTCAAATCCTGTCCAGGAATATGCCTATCACACTGCCCACTTTCATCAGTTGTTCACTGCAGCTCTAAGCTCATTGAACACCCAAAACGGCCCAGTGATGTATTAATTGTTGTTATTTATGTAGTAACAATACGAAGACATTGAAAATTTTACGAACGCATTATCTAGGCAGAAACGAAAGTAAAAGTAAAAGGAAATGGCGGCAGATAAATGAAGATTGCCGAAGTTTTTAACTTTTTACAAGTAATAGCTTTTCAAAAAGCTTGCCTGACTAATCAATCAATATCTATGGAACGTATATGCAAGAGAGGTGCTAAATGTTTCCGTCATCAAGGAGCGACATAGTTGCGATACTTCATTACACAAGATGTACAATTGACTTTCTTAAATGTCATAACCAAATACTACAGATTAACGAATATCTAAGATATGCCACTATTTGGTCATTTATTAGTTAGCGCACGGGCTGACTAGTTACCTTGGGATGAAACTGCAAGTGCGCTAGCGTAGATTATAATCAAAGGCAGATCCAGCATCGGCGCGCCGGGCGTGCCCCCCCCCCCCCCGTTTGAATTTTTTGTATGTATAGAACTTACATGTTCATTATCCTAAAATCAAGGAAAAAACACCTCTTATTTGTAAGAATTCGACAGCTTCCGGGGGCTTCGCACCCGAACCCCCATCAGGGCTTTGCCTTGGACCCACTGGGGTTTCAATACAGCCCCCCAGACCCCCTGCCTTCTACTGCGCCCTCCCGTTATGAAATTCCTGGATCCGCCACTGATAATTCTGAGGAAAAAATAGTTAGATGATTCTTTTTAAAGAAATTCATATTACATGTACTCTCTTACTAGAGGGCGCTCTTCTTCATGCACACTCCCTGGTCAGTGATGACGGCCTCTATTTATAGATTGGTCTGTTTTCCGTCGTTCTCGACGACGAAGTAAATTATGAACAGTTTTAGCTGAGAAAGTTGTCTTGAAGTGTTTGAGACAAAAATGCTTCAATGCTGCTCTAGAAATCCAAGTAAATGACCTGTACACTTTATAACTAGCGCAAAACAAGATACTAATAACCCCCCCCCCCCCGGACAAAACTCACACGATGATGGTCTTACCATATACATGTATTATAAATGAGTTTAAAATACATCTTTATATACAGTTTTGAAATTGTTTAGTTTTTCTTTTCAATCGATTTCAGGACCTTTCTCATATTTATAATAACGTGCTTTTTTATGAAATGAAAACCAGTACAGATCATTATGTCTTCTTCATTTTGCCGATTCTTTACGTAGAACATTACGGGAGTGAAGCCCATTCCGCTACGGCTACTGACTACACTATTGTCACTGTATTAAAAGGAAACCCTTGTTCATCACAAAGCATGAAATAAGATGCTACTCGCGTCATGACTTTCTAAGCATTTTTAAAAACCTAACCTTGTAACGTACATTATTAATATATGTAATATTGAAAAAAGGCTAGATGGAAAACAGACTGAATCAAGAAGGGATGTCCCATTTACTAGGTGGAGGGCCGGAGTTTGTTTCTGATTAGACTAGTCCACTTATTGGATAAATAGTAAGAATAATCAGCAAATCCATTGCTTTAGTGTTGCCTGTCCATATACAATGTGTTCTCTAAAAAAATGAGATAAAATTTACTGTTAATAAAGAAATCTGGAGCTTAAGAATCATGTTAAAAGAATAAACTTTATTTATTTCCATAGAAGTTATCACACCCATTCAATAGAACAACCCAAGAAAAAGGCGCGAAGATAATTTACATGTGACATTTGGTGCGAAATGATTGTGTCACCCCTTTCATAGAAGCCAAATGGACTGATCCAGTAGTTTAGAAACGCAGAAAAAATGTTACACGGACAAGTCTGTACAAAGAATCGCAAAGAATAAACATATGCATGCAAAAAAAATTGAAGAAATTAAACACATCATCATTTTGCATCAGTTATGTGATTCTTTCTTCTGCACACTGTATTTGTTTAAATGCAGGTAACAAATTCCGATGTAAATCAGCTTGCACAAAATCTAGTACATTAAGAATGATCGCTTAGTTTCGGATCCCTGAAATATTAATCCTTATACTGCCTGACGCACGTGGCGTCAGGCAATAAAAAATGTGCACATTTCTTTTAAAATGAAGGAAATAGAAGAAATAGCATCATGAAGATATTTATTCAAGATAAGTTATTAATAAATTATATGTATATAGCATTTTAATGAAGAATTTGAACAGAAGAAGGAAATGAAAGGAGAAAAATACACCTCCTAATACAACAAGCTTTCAAAACGATGTTTTACTGGATTTTATTGGGAACTTTTATTACATTGCCCTCGGTATTACGATATTTTACCGTGACAAAATGAACATCGTAATAACGAGTCCGCACTACATATATTACACAATTATTGCTGGTTTTTGAGGTCAATACGATGATTTAGACACCTGAGGAGTACAATATTCACCGAGCCCGAAGGGCGAGGTGAATATTGTACTTCGAAGGTGTCTAAATCATCGTATTGACCTCAAAAAACAGCAATAACTGTTTTATTATATGATTAAATGATAGCAAACTCCTACAAGACTGTTTTTTTTTTGCTTTAATTGAAAGTTTTAACGAGAAATTTCAACAAGAACACATTGTAACATGAAAAAATGACACAGGAATAATTCATGATATTGACCTACAATAATTCCTTATATTGACCTGGAAGGTCACGTGATTCATTATATTGACCTGCAATAATTCCTTATATTGACCTGGAAGGTCACGTGTAGGTCAATATAACGTAGTATTTTTCTAACATTGTTGGATCTCAGCCAATCAGAAAGAGGGAAATTATTCAATCATATAATAAATATATATACATATACATATATATATATATATATATATATATATATAATGGACTTTTTTAAAAGTAATACAGTACTGTTGTTTTCAAGTTAAAGGTGCTTGGACACAGATTTGAAGTTAATATTTTCTCAGATTTTCTGTATAATTTCATGACTTATATGTTGCTATAGCATTTCATACTAAAATATAATAAAAATCTTATTTCATCTCTAAGTTATTGAAACTTCAAATTTCTGGACGCGTTTGATTGACACAACCTTGCACTTTCACAATTCTTAATTTTATTCTTAATACTTAAGAAAAGTGGCAGTTTTATTTGTATAAATGAAAAGTATTAAAACTATAATCCAGAAAATTCAGAGTAGAAATGTTCGAAAGCAAAACCCACTCACAGTATTGTCAGTCCGTGCTCAGTGGTGTGTGCAGACTTTAACAATTGAACACACCCGGTGAATCGTAAACATTAACAATAACAGAGCTCGTGCCCTGTTTACAGAAACAGTTTACGTTTCACGGGTGTATTCAATTTGTTAAACTCTGTACACAACACTGAGCACGGGCTGACGATATTAGTGAGGGGGTTTGCTTTCGCACATTTCTACTCAGAATTTTATGGATTATAGATGTAATGTTTTTCATTAATACAAAACAAAATCACTTCTTTTCTTAAATATTAAGGATAAAGATAAAATTTGTGAAAGTGCAAGGATGTGTTAATCAAACGCGTCCAGGAATTCGTAGTTCCAATAATTTCCAGATAAAATAAGATTTTAATTATATTTTCGTGTGAAATGCTATTGCAATATATAAGTCGTGATATTATACAGAAATTTTGAGAAAATATTAACTTCAAATCTGTGTCTAAGCACCTTTAACAATATTAGATCTTTATTGAAAAATTTTCCGACAAGTGAAGTTGAAGTTACTGCCAAAGTTAAAATTTTTGAAAAGTAGGTCAAAATACTAGATTAAGAGGTCAAAAATAAGTGTACTTTCTGAAAGGTGTTGTTGCAGGTAATGTACATTTAAAATATGAAATCCTTATCTTCTCTCATTCAAAAGTTATTACTAATGTTAAAACTTTTGAAAATAGGTTAAACTTGAAGATCATGATGTCAAAAACCCAAAGTGCATTTGGAAAGGTTGTGTCACAGGTAATGTGAAAGACAGACAGGTAGATAAACAGACAGAAAGATGAATGAGATTTAGTGTCCCCTTGCTTTTGCAAAAGTGGGGGACAACAATAAGCCCTGGACTATTTGCAGCAATCATGATTTAATACACACTAATCAGTGTCTCTATGAATCATTTTCATATAAAAACATATCTGGGCAGTATTCATGAACTAAAGCACAGAGAAATGTGTCAAAGGCACCAAAATATGAATGCCACAATTAAAATAAACATACAAAAACTTGTAAAAGACACTAACAATGTCAATGCAATTATACCTGTCTGTGGGAAGGGCTGTCCAGGCCACACTGTGAGAGGTTCCAGCTGACACCTGGTGAATACTGATACCATCTAGACCAATAACTTTTTTGGGACGTGTGATGGGACTCTGTGCATGTCCCTGGCCACATTGACCCATGGCATTGTTACCCCAGGCATAAACTTCACTCTCTGTATCAAGAAAATAAAACATGTAAGAAAGTTTTATGCATAAATCATACTGAAATATGAAACTTATACCATTCTATCTTTTTGAATAGGTTTTTTTTCAGATATTTCTGGAACCAATGGAGATTACCCTGTGTGAGAGCTAGTACATGACTGTCACCACATGCAATGTCAACCACTCGTTTTGACTGAAGATCCTCCACCAGTCGTGGTCTGAGAGCAGTATACTCTGCTGACCCACATCCCAAAATGGCTCCACATCCCCATGCATACAACTGTTTAAAACAGAATAGATGATTCTCAGTCCATACAATACAGCCAAATATTTACAAAATATTTACATGTTGTATGCTACTTAAATGTTTAAGCAACTTAGGTAGCATGATATTCTGACTGCAAATAATGTAATTATAAAGTTGTTCAACACATATATTTCAATCAGATTTCATGCATATTATATTCAAAGCCAAGGTAACAGGATTTTGTCCCTGAAAATTCCTTATTACATTTTTAATTAATATACTGTTTCGAGACTCTCACCTGGCCTGAAGATGTTACAGCTAGAGATGATTGACTCCCACAAGCTACTTTTCTGATGTACAATCCGCTCAAGGCTTCTATCACTTTTGGTTTATGTTGTCTATTGGTGTCCCCATGACCAAGTTTTCCTATAAAATATATCCATAAATGCAGACAACTGACAAAACACCAAATTATGAACATTTACTATGAATTGCAAAATAGTAGAAAATTTTCATCTTAATTGCAACAAATGACAGAATATAAAACTTGATTTAATCATTTATTATTATTTTATTATTCTTTTGATGACAACTTACCATTTTCTCCTCCACCAAATGACCATATAGTTTTACCATCCTGAGACACAGCCAGTGTGTGACTTCCACCGCAGGCAACGAGACCTACAGATTCTATGGCTTGTACTTTTGTTGGAAAGTTCTTGCTGGATGTGTAGTCATGTCCTAGAATGTGTAAGTATATTAATTAATTCATGTTTACAATATTAAGAGATTGTCAATGTGAGGAAGTAATGCTGGACAATTCTTCAGTGTCCTATAAATTTTTAAAGACCAGCAACAATGTGAGAATTAGGTAAAATTGTTCTGTTATACAACATTGCACAGTTATATGACAAGAATCAAGACCCAGTCTCAAATTCTGAATAAATTATAGTCAAGAAAACTGAAATATTTTTTCAGAGATTAGATTTAGACAGAGTGCATCATGTCCATGCAGTATAATTTGTCTTTATTTAAAAAGTACATAAAAAAAATACCAGCATAATCTGTACATAAAAGATGGAGCTGATTTCAATAATTTTCCTATACCTAATCTTCCAAATTCACCATCTCCCCATGTGTACAACTCCCCATCCTCAGTTACAGCAGCACTATGTCTGTAGCCTGCTGATATACACTTCACTACCTATGAAAAGAATTAAATCTTCACATGTAATGAACATTTCACTCCATCACTCCATCAGACTTAAGGGAGCCGACTGGGGTTTTATTGTGTGAAAACTACTATAGAGAAACTCTTTAATTTTATACCATATGTACCTTACATTGACTTCAGTATACATGCCAAGTTTAGTGAAAATCTACTGTTTGTTTATTTTTTAGGGACCATCTCAAAATACAGGTACATTTACTATAGGATTATATAGGAAAATACTATTTTTTCGCACTTCGGAGCAAATTATACAAATATTACAATAGACATTTTGCTCAAATCATATTATTTGATGAGTAATACTATATTGTACATTTTATGCAAGAAACACAAAATTCTACCGTCTGGTTTCCAGAGGGGGCATCTCAAAATGTCAAAATTCATGATATTTTCCTGTTTTTATGGAGTACTACAAAACATGACAGATACCACAGATTTTATATAAAAAATAATAAAAATGATTGTGAGATTCTCAATTTTCTATGTTTAAATTTTCAAGAGCATCTATCTTATACTTTTTATTTTATGACATAATTAATGATCCCTCTTAAAGAAATTTGGTTATTCATAACGTCAAAAAGACACTATTATGACGTCTATCTACCCATCATATAAAAAATCGTTTAATTAATCAGTTATTTAAAAACGTAATTAGATTTTTTAACCTGAGATTTCCTAATTTTGTTAATTTTTATAAATTATGTAAAGATAGTTGCTTTAAAAGAGTAAATACGCTTTATTTTACAATGCTGCGCGAAATATTGCACAATGAAAACCCCAGTCGGCCCCCTTAAATACATTTTACATAATCGAGAGGCCAATGGGCCACATGCCCACCTGAGTCACTTTGGAATCGCTGTCCTTCATCAGCATTTTTTTTTTAATATTTACCTCTTTAAGGACCCTCTCTACACCAGTGCAAAATGTTTTTTGGACATTGAGAAAAATATATTGTGTAAAGGTGTTAATATTGAGCTTATCTATTTAATTTTTACTATATAGTACGTGGCATTCACCCCCAGGAAAAATGTTCAAACACAACACAGTATCAGTGAACAGAAATCACTGCTGTTTACTTCCATAGAGACAATACATGTAAATAATATATTCAATTTATTTGTCTTGGCCTTTTAAAATGTTAAGAATACTTGAATTAATTACAAATTGAGTAATATACTGTAAATTTCTTTTTTTTTAGAATTTAGATCTAAGGGCAGATCACTCTAACTACATAAAAATACCACAGAATCAGAACTCTTTAGTTTGCAGTGTAGAGAGGGTTCTTAATTTCGTAAAATTTTTGACTCTATATTGTGGACCAAAATCTAGCCTTTAGGGAGCCATGATTTATTTCAAGTTGAATTCACACAACAAGGGGTTCCTTCAATATCAATACCATCAACATGACTTGCTATTGGAGGAGATATTTTTCCTATACAAGCATTATATAAAATATGGATCTCTGATTTTGGCCCAACCCTAATCCCAGAACTCATAATTTAAAAAGATTCAACACAACTATGGTATGGTTTTTCTTATCTTAAAATATGATTTTGTGTAGTCTTGCCACTCTTGAAAAGATTTCTTCCTATATATTCCCTTGCAAAACTCTGATCCCTTATTGTAGCTTTAACCTATTCCAGAGGGCTCTGATCTGAACAAAGTTGAATCTTAACTACTTAAGGATGCTTGCATATAAATACAGTTGAAATTCGGTATCTTGAACACAGATATCTCAAATACCATGGATATGTCAAAGTCATTCTGAAGTCCCAACTACTTATTCCTTAAATATTTTACCCTGGATTTCTCGAATCCTTGGTCCCTTCAACTTCCAAGATAACGAGGTTTGACTGTATGACTCCTCATAGCTTTGCTGTTCATTAGATGAAGAATTTTAAAGATTTAACCAATTTATTCCTTTTGTGGCCCCACCCCCTCCACCAGCCATGATTTGAACACACTTGAATCTACATTACCTGAGGATACTTGCATATCATGACTAATCATGACTTCGCTATTCTTGAGAGAAAGATTTTAAAGATTTTTTCCCTATATATTCCTATGTAAAACTTCATCTCCTACTGTGCCCCCATCCTACCTGCAGGGGCCATGATTTGAACAAAGTTGAATCTACACTACCTGAGGATGCTTCCATATCAATGTGATGAAACATGGCTTTGCTGTTCTTCAGATGAAAATTTTTAAGAACTTTTTCATATATTGTTATTCGTATGTAAAAATCCGATCTATTTTTAGCACACCCTACCCCTTTTAGGGTCCTGATTTGAGCAAACTTACACTGTGTAATGAGGCTTCCACATGAATTTCATCTTAAAGGCCCAGTGGTTCTGAGAAGATTTTTAAAAGATGCCATTAAAATTTTCACTAATTCTTAACTATTTCCCCTCGCAAATTGGTATGGCCCTTCATTGGAAGAAACTTCATCCAGAATGATTTGTGGCAAGTTTGGATGAAACTGGTAGTTCTGGAGAAGAAATTGAAAAAGTGAAAAATTTACTGACAATGCAAACAGACAGATGGACAGACACTGGACTTTCTTTGATCAGAAAACTTTGAGCCTTTGGCTCAGGTGAGCTAAATGTAACTGTGCTTGTGTGTTTGAATGTTTTTTTTTTCATTGGGGAATTATTTCAAACTTTATGGAAAGGGATAGTCACAGAAAAAAAAACTTCTGATATTTCATACAGACATCATAGGAAAAGGAAGGTAAGTGTGTGAAGTTTGTATTACAGTAATATAATTCTTTAATGCATTTACAATGCAAATAAAACCACTTTGAAGTTCAACACTAAGTTGCTTTGTATTGGTATAATTTCTTTTATCTTTGATGGATGTTGTTAATTTCACTAGGTTTCATTTACTAAGTGACAGAATTCTAACTGCATGGAAATCCAGTACTAATGGACATTTGATTCCATCCCCCTAAATAGGAACTAAATAACTAATACTAGTAACCTTCCCAGCCAATGGACCTTTCACCAGTTTTGGGCATTTCTGAGTTGAGTGTGTCCCATGACCCAATTTTCCATAATCACCTGTAAAATGTAAAATCATGACTTAAAAATGAACTCTACACTATATACAACTTCCTCCCAATTTGAAATGTCATTAAACTTGTTGAAACTTGCCACCTTCCATTACCAGTCTCATGATTATCAGATCATTCAAGTTTTTGTTATATTAAATTTAGAATTCCTGACATTCCTGATTTGAGACCCTAAAAACACGGAGAATACCAACCATCTCCCCAGCTGTAAACTTCTCCAGTTGTAGTCAGAGCTAGAGTATGTCCATCCGAACCTTTGGATGACGAGATCTTTTTGACGAAACACTTTTTTTCAAACAAAGGTTTCTTTGGCACTGAACAGTTATTTGAATCTCCGAGACCCAGCCTGCCATAGCTACCTTTACCACAAGCTCCTGCAGTACCATCACCATAGATAAGAAATGTACAAAACTGACCTGCTTCCACCTACCAGAAGAAAAAATATACTGTGAAATATACAAGTAGTTTATATTTGTCCAATAGTTAAAAATTTATTTTGACATTTTCTAAGTTTGAATAACATAAAATATCCCCTTATTTACACATATTTTAAACAGTAATTTTCAGTTAAAATACATTAATACATTTCTCACATAGTGTAATGTATGAACAAATTGACCTGCTGACAGTCTGTAAAGACAGTGGAGTATTTAGGAGTTGTAATCTTCTCCTGTCCACCTTCAGCCAGTTGATGAGTACAGTTACTGCCCCACACATATACTTCTCCACAGCTACCATTCAAATTAGCATTACTTTGTGATGTTGAGTTGTTACAATTTTCATCTGGTCCAGTACAGCAATTACTGGCATAGTCAGAGGCCAAAAAGTACAACTATATTAAAACAAACATCACAACACATTTTGAATATCAATTGTAAAAACATTAAAAATTCATTTATGAAAAAGGAAAATTAAGACATATAATTGGAAAACAATCCATCAAACTTTGTAATTTTCAAGTCAATGACAAAGCTGCAAAAACTTAACAAGACATTAGAGGGTTCAAGATAATCAAGTTGAGACAAAGTGCAAATTCAAAAATAAACAAACCAAGAAAAACAAAACAAACAACAACAAAAAAAAAACACTGGTCAAGAAAAAGCTATATTAGTTTTCTGTTCAACTATAATGTATATATGAGCATAAAAATACACATATGGTCCATATACATGAAATTAATTCACACAGTTTATGATTATTTAATGATTTTTACCTCCTCCAACAGAATTACTGCTGCATAATAAAGTGACACCAGACCATTTTCATCTGGAGAGACATCTCTAATCAAAGTACTGGAGAGTCCTGCGCCGCCTCCCTGCAATTAGAAACAGGAAACACTGTTTAAGTTAGAAATATAGAAAATTAATCATAACAATAATTGCGATAGAATAGCTTGAAAATTGCAAATAATTGATAATTCAATGATTGACAAAACTGAAAAATTTAAGAAAGTCTTTTTCAATCATACATGAAATCAATAATGTTTAATTCTTTTTGTCTCACCATTGGGTTTATCATATCTGTGATTATCTTCAGAAATGTTTGCCAGTGTATCTTCCCTGCATGCTTGTCTTTATTTTTGCTCTTGGTCACTGTGACAGAGATTTTCATTGACAATTCAATCCAACTAAGAACATAGCGAAGTGATCCTCTCTGAGCAGCAAGGGCAATCATAAGCTCTATAGCCAATCTCTGTCCTGTCAAATCAGCCTCAGAATTGGGGCTTGCTGCTTGTTGCAAAAATACATTGACCTGATTCAATGAGTCTACTCCAAGTGGGGTAAGCTTTGTTTCATTGGAAAGAGACAGTGGTGGAAAATTTTCCACTACAGATAGAGCTGTCTGTATTATGTCATTGCAAAATGAAAACTGTCCTGTTTGTTTTGCTAACATCCAATTCTGTCTGAGTAAAGAGAAAAGAATATTAATTCCTGTTTTGACCCCTAATTCCAACAAAGCATCACTGCCCTGGGGCATTCCAAATCCCAAATGACTCCTATCGTCTTCTGATTTTCCAGTTACTGATATGTTGAGAGGAGAATCCTCACTGGAAATTTTTCTGATATGATGTTTACAAGATACAGCTTGGTATACTCGCTGCAAGATGATCAATCGTTTCTGAAGGACTTTTGAAAACCTAGAAAGACTAGATACAGTTTTGGCAATGTTTCTTTGATGTCCTAGTAAAGCATTTATCAAATGTTCCTGCTCCTCTACTGTTGTTGGTTCTTGGTCATAATCAGTCAGTGCTGGACCCTTCAAACTTATGGCCTGCTGTGGCAGGATATTGACTTCTTTGTGGGATACAAGTCTCTCAAACAAGCCATCCAGCCCTGTCTGAGAAGCTATGATCTCACAGTCTTCAGAGACCCAACTGGAATGGAAGTGCTCTCCAAACTTCAGATGAATTTGACTAGGGTCAATCATTGTTGGCATATCTACCAAATAGAAATAAAATTTTGATGATTTTTACGAGCATTTTACAAGCTTTTGTAAGAGATATTCATCGGTGCATAAGTCTGTGCATCAACAAGATATACCGGTAATAATCAGGCCTCATATTGCTCATTCCCTAAAGATTTTCAGCTTTTCATGAATTTTATTATACCCTTATTTTTATTAAAACTGTTTTGATTGTATAGATCCACATGCACTCAAAAGGCCTAAGAATACAACAGTGATTACAACCTTTAGTTTTTTTTCTTACATGATTTCACACAATGCATATTTTGAAGTGTGGTTAAAAGCAGTCTGCTTCTTTACAAAGATCATGTTGGCCACCTGGCTCTCACACAACTTTTTGGGACGCGGCCAGGGCCATTAAATTTGGGGAAATAAGCAATCTAATTAAAATTAGTTCTTTCAGGCTCTAGTCTTTGATATGTTGTGGCAAAATCTAATTTTAATTAAATTGGAAAATTAGCAACCTTTTTGGAATTTTGGAAAAATCATCATACATTAAAACTCATCAGACTTTGGGTCTCTGGCAGCAAGCAAAGCCACAACTTTCCCGGATCATCACTGACTTTTGCAGACCAAATTTCTGTACTGAGCTGAACTGAGTTCAAGATTAACAAGGTAATTGTATTACATTAGGATTTATACCTTGCGAACTACCAATTCAGTGGATTATTGTGTTAAAGTGTGTGATTCCACAGAGATTAAACATTAAATATTTTTCACATAAATCCATGTTCACTATAAAAAATTTGTGTTGAAGACTTTGCCTTGTGTCACAGTACAATCTAAAAGAAGATGCAGATATTAAGTAGATTTAATTAACACTCTTCATTAAAAAAATTGCACTTTTTTCGACTAGGAATGCATGATTTTATTGGTATATAACAGTATATCATGATTTTTTATTATGATACATACCATGAAACAGTGACTAAAATACCATTTTTTTTTTTAGGTACATAATTATGAATTCCAGAAATTGTTCCAATTTTTTTAATTACAATTACAGGAATCAATCTAAAAAATGTTGAAAATGGTAAAACTGGGTTCCTGGCATCCAAACATGCTAAATACCATGCAGCAAGTTTCTTTAGCGGGAGTAAAATTTGGCGTTTTGCTACCTCAAAGGTATGCCAATTATTTGTGGAACTATATTTTGCGGACATGGCGATCAATGATGTTTGCAGAGAGAGGAAGTTCATATTCCAGAGGAGTTTTCAGTACATTTGTATGTTTTACACAGATTTATTCAATAGCACAGCACTTTAAAAACAAGTAAAACTGAATATTAATAACAGCAATAAACTGATATTTTGATGGGGTCATTTCAACTTGAATACAAAAACTAAAATACAAAGGAAAACAGTCTACTTATACCGCTTTTTGAATATTTTTATCTACTTACATTTTTATGTTCTGATATTTTGAAAAATAATTCTTCTCTGTTTTGTTTGCTTAATAACATTACCTATTCCCCAAAATGATGACCTTTTTTCCTGAAAATTAGCTGTATGTAGCCGGATTATTTTAGAATAGACTATATGGTTAAATTTGATGATGTGCTTGCTGAATTTTGATACTTTTGCTCTTATTTTTTCCATGTCTACATTTTTTCCACAGAAGTATTTTTCTCTTGATACATCCTCACAATGTCAAGGTTTTGTGATTTCGGAAGTCCACACAAACCCTTGACATAAGTCGCTATTAAAAAGTTGGGTTTGTAGTTACACATTACGTAATGGGTAAGTATAAACTAACCAATGAGAAAATATTTTTCAAATCCGTCATTTTCAAATGGCCCAACTCCAGAGCATATCTTTTGTGATTTTTAGGAGGACGATCTTCCAAAAATTTATCCCCGATGTTACTAGTCACAAATTGTCAAAATATGGACACTTTCCATTTTAAAGACGAGTCATATTTGTTAACAAAACTTACCAACGATAAAAACTGTTTTCTGAATGGGTCCAGTTCTAGACCAGGAACAAATGAAAAAGTAGCTTTCTAGCCCAACTTTTAAATAGCGACTTATGTCAAGGGTTTGTGTGGAGTTCCGAAATCACAAAACCTTGACACTGTGAGGATGCTCTTGATAGGGTTTGCATGAAAAATCATTGGTCTGAACCTCTGTGAAGACGATACTGTGATCATGCATTGACACCCCGGATTGGTTTAAGAAGGTATTTAGTAATTAATACACATCTTGGATAATTCCATTGACCGCACCATCAAACATACCCCAAACAGGCTTTTATACCCTGTCAATTGGTCCAAACTTTTATTTGAACAAAAAAATACCATTCTGGTTTAAACTACAATGACAGTAGTTTATCAACAGGCAGATGTGCGTTTTACACAAATAGATATAAATACTTTCTGAATGATCTAAGATTTCAGCAATTTTAAAATCAAAAACTGCTGATGTAAACAGATAGACTCGGAAATCAGCACTAGTTTCTAGGTGGAGGCTGAGTAGTCCTGTAAAAAGTAAATGTTTCCTAGAAGAATGCAATGGGTAATAGTCAGTTTACATTTTCCTCATATAATTTCATAAGACTAGAAATCATACCTCCATGTTTTTATCTTACAATCTACATGCGGATCCATCCTGGATTGGATGCCATTTCATTTCGTCTGTTCGATTCCTACCGACATATCACGCATGCGCCTGCCAGCAGATAATGATACTCGAACCCGGTGAGAAGTTAGTGTTGAAAACTTATTATCCCACTTTATTTAAACCTGATTAAACAAAAATTTAATAATTTATTAAACATAAATATTAATTTGCCATTACAAATTCTACAGATAGTTCCAAAAATAAGTAATATAAAAATAGATATATGTACCCGGAATTTTGAATTTTTGCAAAAATAGTAAATCCAATCTTGGTTGCTAAAGCGTTTTTAAGCGTCTTAATGATAAAATATAAACAAATCTTATCGTACATTTTCTTAGACCCTTGAACAGCATATATCTTTTAGGATCTTGCTTTTTCTTAAAACCATGAGTGGAAGATTGTCAATGTCTTCAATTTTGTCAGCCAATAACTCTATGTCTTCAACATCTTCTGTCCCAACAAACAGTGCAAGTCTTGCAAAAGCTGAAAGACAAATAAAGGTATGTACATTTACCATAATCCCTCGTGAAGATCGATTATGCAATAGATGTAACTCTAACAGTGTAGATGATGAAACTCATTTTCTCATAACATGTAAAAAATATGATCATCAAAGAAAAGAAATTTTTCAATCAATTAAAAGTAAATTTCCCAATTTCTCGGCATTAGATGATGAACAAAAACTTTTTTTGGTTACTCAATACTGAAGACAAAGAAACTCTTAATTCTGTGGGCAAATTCATAAATGATAACATGTTGTAGTAGTCATACAGTTTTATATATAGTATTCCCTTTAACTGAAATAGTACAATATTATTGTTGAAATGAGTAATGTCATTTACAAGTTGTTATACTATCCATTGGCATATCTTTTCTTTATTATTGTAATAATTTCATACTTGTCTGTTATGGGCTCTAAATTAGAAAATAAATGTTCTGTTCTGTTCTGTTCTGTACAACCTATCGAGATATCAATTGCTATTCTTAAAGGTGTTATTCATTGAATGAAGTAACATGCGCCGATCTAGGGGGGTCGGGGGACCCCCCCCCCCCCTGGAATTTGCAGAGTTTTTAAATGTATATATACTAAAGCAACTAAAGGTGAAATTGGAAACCCCCAAACCCTAGAAAAGGCAAACCCCTGTTAAGTTGGTATGGAATGTCATACACATAGAGCTTAGGAAGTGAACCAAGCAACACCCCCCCCCCCCCCCCAAGAAGGATTTTTTTTACTGGGGTGGAACCCCCCCCCCCCCCCCTTGGAAAAAATTCCAGGATCCGCACCTTAGTAACTATTTTCATTAGCAGAGTCATGTTGATGTATTTTGTACTGCAGTTGTAAAACTTACTGTAAATAAATATGTTACTTTCTCTTATTTAAGAAGGCAATTAATATGTTGTCTTTTACCTGTGTTTTGAGATACATGATTGAATTATATTAAGGGTCAAACAAAATCTCAATATCCTCTGTTCTCTTAGGTTTTTACGTGATTGGCTCCTTGCTCTTTGTGTGGTGACAAAATTGTAGAAATATATATGCATTTGTTTTATACATATATACTGATGAAATTGGCATTGAATTGTTGATTTTTTTTATGTTGCAGGGTTTGCAAGAAGAAAATACTAAACTTAGGAAAGATCTTGATAATATGAGGTAAAGGGCAAACAATATTCTTGATCCTTCATTAACATACAACTTAAGAAAATGTAAAATATACTGAAAATGTTTTCCATATTTAAATCTCACAACTGATATTACTAGTATTTTTAATTTGAGCTCCTCATTAGCAAACCAGAATTTATTTATTAATTCTTCTCAATTAGTCATTTATAATACAATAAATAGTTATTGGATATAATACATTTCACAGTGTTTGATGTTATTGGATATGTATTTAAAGTAATACAAATAATTAAATGAATATTAATGTATTCTGTCCATAGATCACTTTATAAGCAGCTGACTTTGGAGAACTCCCATGAAAAATTTGATGAAAGACGTGTTTTTGTCTTAAAGTCACAGATTATACAACTTGAAAGACAAGTATATATGTGCAAGCATATTTTGCATGCATTATTTAATAATTGATATGCTCCATATATCATTTTTTCAAAGACAAATTTATTTTTTTATATTTAATTCAAATGGATATAAATGTTAGTCTGTTTGAGGCAAATACTCTGATGTGTATGAATATTTCAGTTTTTTGACTTTCTGTTGAATGGTTTCAAATCTTACAGCATGATTAAATGTCCCTGTATCTACTGATATTCAGAACAAGTGTCATTCTATCATGGCCATTGTGGCCGCTGTCTGATTGAAGTATTGTGGACGTTTTCTTCCAAAAATTACTGTATGCAAGCTAGATCACGTGTATACCTCCAGCAACATGGTCTGCCAATGAATTAAGGGCAATATATATATATATATATATATATATATATATATATATATATATATATATATATATATATATATATATATATATAATTTTTCATCAAGGAAGTAAACAGTGACTACATGTGATGTATTTACAGCATGTATAGTTTAATATAATGAAGCATACTGTATGTGTACTTAAAAAAGCGGGCTTCATATTTTAGCGGCTTCGGCGCGGACAACAATGCGCTAATTCATGAATACTGTTAATAAAAGATTTATAAATACAATGCATGGCACAGACGTATGTAGCGCTAATTCATGATTACGCCAACCACTCAATTCCCAGTGATTGCGCTAAATTTTGAATATGTCAATTTATGTACATGTACAGTATATTCCTAATCATTTGACTTAAAAGCCAAACATTTTTGTTTCCAAATGCATCCACAATAGTTCTACAAAGTCTCACAGCATGACGGAAAACTTCTTTTAGAAATGATTGTTATTTTCAATTTGGTTTTTAGATACTTTTGATGTCCAATGCAATAGGTAATAGAACAACCACATTGACAGAAGTAGAAAATGCACTCATACAAATTGCTGATAAATGGAGGTAAGTTTTAAATCATTTCATCTCTGAAAACACAGGTTCTGTCTCATTTTTGTACAGAACAAATCAAATATTGCTAGGCATGAAAAAAGAGAAAATTAGTAAACTTATATATACATGTATTTACATCCATATTTTCTTCTTTATTTGTTATTGTTGCTGTTTATTAACCAGTAAACAACACTCAGCATATCACCTGTTCTGATTTCTTGAGCAGTGGCTGTTACATCAATGAAACAAACAATGACATATATCAATATACAATGCATACTAGTAATCTGCTGAATCCTACTTTAGATGATTATTTTTGCAGATATAAATGTAAACAATAAAATGTGTTTCTTTGTTTGTTAGTATTGGAATTAATGTTTCAGCTATTGCAGAAAAAAAAAATTGCATAGCCATAGCATAACCCACTTACGCAGGTTATGCATTTTTTCTGTAACAGCTGCAACATCAATTCCCATACTAACAACCAAAGAAAGCATTTTATTGTTTAAATAAACACTGAATTGCAAGTCTCAATATTGTCCATTCTCCTCAGGCACTACATAGGGTTAGAGGTCAAGGGTCCAGAGGTCAGTATTCCAAGATGTGAATTAACACAGATGGTTCATGTTGCTGAATCTGCTAGAATCAAATTGTACAAGAACATAGAGGTGGGTTTTCCTATAGAGGAATATTTGTTCAAAACTAAAAGAATCAGAATTATAAAAGTGTTTACAAAAAAAAAAAAATGAAATATACGATAATACGAGACCTAGAATTTTTGCTACCTTACAGAAATTAATTACATTTTCTCATTTTACAGAACACTTCCCAAGAAAAATTGTTTCAACCTTTTTTGTGCATTAGTAACTTTTTGAAGTCTCAGAAAGAAGGAGAAATAACCCTTTTTGATGTGGCCTCAGGAAAATTAGATCACCTTAATTTAAAGCAAGTTGTGAGTACATGTATTGAGTAAGAGTTACTTCTTCCAGGGTGAGCTCAAGATGATTTTTTCTCAGTGAATCATTTGAAAAATAAATTTAAGCTATAAATTTCTAAGAGGAGTACAGAATTCTTCACATAGATTTCAAAATGGGGTTTGTTGTTGAAGTACATTTAAAGAAATTGAGGTATTTGGCTCATGAAGTTCTCTGAAAAAAAAAATGGTGACATACAAAATGTAGCTTGTTTGAAGGGGTATGATTGTTTTTATATGAAAATATTGTCTTTTGTCGATGCATTTTCTTATAGTTCAATTTCTGTTAAAGGATTCCAACTTTACTTAAGGAATAATGGACCAACATGAGATAAACAGTTCTGCAATCGAAAAGATGCATATACGTGTAATTTTAAATTCTGCTTATGAATTTTGTTTTCAGACTAAGTTGGAAACAAAGTTGGCTTCATTGTACAAAGAGATGATTAATTTAAATGAAATTCTGGAACCAGGCATGGATGAAAAGCAAGAAGAAAAAGAAGAGCAAGTGGCTTCCTCTTGTCACATAGCATCTGCAGTCAGGGACCAATTCAAAACTCGTTTACTGAAATCATGTGCTATGATAAAGGATTGTTGTGGTGATCTCCTTTCTCTTTCACTCTTATATCCATGTGCACCTTGGGTATGTAAAGTATAAAGTAGTTCCATTCTTGCTATACATGTATTCTAACACATATTTGTGTATCAAACTCCTGTTCTAAGTAGCTAATAATGACGGATTTTACAAACACTTCACAATTTCCATAGCTGTCAAGCATGAAGTAGGAAACAATATGCCTTGCATATCAGTGTGCATTGTTAATATATGTATCTGATCTCATGGTTGTTTTCTACTGAACAAATAGTTTAACTTAAGAGCAGATATTAATTTTTTCTTTCTTCTCCCACAAAGACCAGACTTCTGTCTTATGATGTCATTTGATGAATTTCTGCATACATGTACATTTATTACATGTAGCTAAAGATTACAAATTACAAAAATAATTTTCAGCCACCTTTGAAAAAGAGTGCCATCAAAGATGTTACAACAGCACATGTAATGAAGTCACTTCCAAGCCTGCCGAAATCGAAATCAGCTGATGTACAGTCTGTTGTAGAGGCTCTTATCAGAACATTCAACTACAAGAATCAAATGACACAACATGAAGTAAAAACAACATATTCACTTAACTGAAATTTTGTTTAAAAATTTTTCTTTTTTTAACCTAAGAAAAATAAACTTAAGCTAATTTTCATGCAGAAACGGGGATAATTTACTCTTTTTTGTATGTAGATGAACTTTGTTTGAAGCTAAAATGTGTGTTTATTTGCAAGATGAGCATTATTTCCAGAATTTCTCAATCACAATATGGGATAATTATATCAATCAAGTAAAACAATAGTTTAAATGCACATTAGAACACAACCCAATTCTTCATCCAATCAGCAATCACTAAAAATTCTATTAAGTGTTGCACTTAATTGTTTAGAATTTCTATGTACACATGCAGTGACGTCTTCTTTCACTTGACAGCTTTGATAAACAAAGACAAAAGTGAGAAAACATTTGATTGAGGCAGAGTTTCCAATCAGCCAATGAAAAGTGGGTTATGTTCTAAGTAAGTTAGTTCATACTAAGGAAAATTTTAGCAACTAAGAAGGTGCTCAGTTGCTTTGCTTCTTCTTAATCGCTAAAATTTTACTTGATATGATCTAACTATTACTTAATTCTTACTGCAATATCAGCTTTGTTTCAGTTTAGGGAAATGAACATGTATACACTAAAACACACTTATAATGAAGTGCTGGGAATGGACGATTTTGTTTTCATATAAATGTAATTCAACATTAAGTTCACAATATTTTTTAAAGCCCCAGGGAATGGAAATCACTTCACTGTAAGCGTCAAATCGTTATAAGCATGTTCACTATAAGCATGTTTTACTGTTTTGTTTTCTCCAATACCACCTTTTCTCTACATCTGAAGAGGAAATGGAAATATTTATTGAATTGGTGATATGTTAGATATTGTTTTTTTTTTTTTATTTCTCTTTGGTAGGTCAAAAGTCTTCGTGAAGAGTTGAAATTCCACAAATCTGTCTATGACTTGCAGCTGTCATACGTGCAATCTTTGTTCTCAGTAATAAGGTTTGACACGTTTTTTATTTTGATGAATTTTTCAAACAAAGAGCCCTAGCTTACAATTCCATTCTCAGATCCCAACTGCAAAGTATTTAATTTAACTAGTTTAATTCAAATGTAATTTCAATCTTCCTTGCGTGTTGTCTTTTGTTTCTCTCTCAGACACCTCTGGAATTGGCTTGTGTCAAGTTTTTCAACGTAAGTAAAATCATGACATTCCAAGGATTATTTCAATTTAAATTAAAATAATTATTTTAGACCTACTAAGTAAATATCTACCTTTTTTAAAAGGACAAACATTAGTGCAGGCATTTTATTATAATGAATTAAAACAAACACACTATTTCTTATACTTACACGTATCACTTTGATATACACAAGCCAACAACAGAGGTGAATGAACAAGCCAATGGTAGAGAGTGATCTAATTTGCATTATAAGTTAGCTGCTATCAAAAAATTGTTGCATAAGGCAAGACATATCAGTGAGAATCGATAGAAATTTTGTAACATCGATAGTCGATACATGTATTTATTTTATCTTTTAACATTGTCAAGGGACTTTATTTCTAGTGCGGATTGCATATGAACTTTCCAGCTAAGATTATAATGAAATTTTGTATTCGTGTATAGATATTTTTTTATTCAGAATAAATGTTACATGGTTTACTTCACTTAATGTCTCCTTTAATGAAAGTTAAAATTAAGGATTATTTAATCGATTGTATGCTGCTGATTGAATTTGATAATTTCATGATAGAGCAACTCAGAAACACAATACTCCGTGATGTATTTCATATAACAAAACTCAACAAACAAGACCTAAACATTAAACAAAAGGCATAGAATGGGAATAACTTTCTTCTAATTTGGTATTTGTGACCATTAATGCCGATTTAACAGTCGCAAACATCCATTTTACCGGCTCTGCTTACACGTTGCCGGTAAAACTCAGTTTGCGACGGTTAAATCAGCATCAATGGTCGCAAATACTAAATTAGAAGATAGTTTTTCCCTAATTTCTTGGTTCATTACACAAGAAAACAGCTCATTATTTTTGTGTATATGAGGAGTGAAATTTATGTCCAAGTGAAAGTGATATGATTAATTCTGTTACGTTTTTTTTTTTTTCAGGGATGGATATAAAACTTTTCAGTCATCATGTAATGAAGTTATAGCAAATCCTTTTCGGGGTAAATAGAAAATTGATTTAGATACTTGTGTGCAGTATTTGAATATTAAGCTTCTTGTCATTCATCTCCATAGAGTTGCACAATAAATTGTTTTTCATACAAATATCCAAAGGGTTCTTGGGTACTTGTGAGATATGCTTTATTATCAGTCTAGACGAACTCTAAAAACGGCGTGAACTCCGAAAATGAAGTCTTTGGCTCCATCATGCATTGCGGCAAAATGGCCTCCGATGTAAACAAACGATGGGTTGTCGTTCGCTTTCTCCAAATATACGGCTGCATAATGGCTGTATTTAGTGCATTGTGACTTTATTTTAATTTTTGTTGAATGGATAATTATATTTATTAAATTATTTTTTGGATATTGACTTATTTATTGCTTCAAACTCTTGCATAGTAGTAAATTGGATATATGACATCGAATTCAATACTGCCGGTAAGAATTATTTTCTTATTTGATTTATTGCCTCCTTGATTTAAATTTTATGTTGTTCATACAATATAGGTGCTTTTATTTGTTTTTGAAGACACCCAGCTTGTATTTATTTTAATTAGAAAATGCGTATTTTTCACCTCGGAGCAGATATATTCACAGGTTCATTTTTCGAAGACAAGTTGTGACCTTAATTTCTAGAAGAGTGGTTTTTAAAGATTTCATATTGATAGCTAATAGTTTTAAAAAGGTTTTCATAATAATATCTGTTCGTATGTGATAAAAAATCAGTAAATAACGACGGTAAGAACTTGCGTGTTCAATTCAGATGTCGTACACAAATAAAAATACCGGAATGCTAATTTATGTGTAAAATTCAGTCAAGTTTTTAACAGTTACAATATATATTGTCCCATTTTGCATCTATATCCCTTTTATTATGCATATTTACTTCTCAAACGTATCATTTTCTCTGTAATTGACCTGACTTCAAACGTCAACTTTGAAAGTAAAAATCTCCTTTTTTGCAAATGAAATAAAAAATCTGACAAATATGATTTCTTCCGAAGTCTTTTATTTAGCATTTCTGAGTACTGGCATAATTGCCATACTTTCCAAAACTTTGCACAGACAGTTTTTGTAGACCCATCATTTTTGCCGAAAAATTGCCATTTTTTGTGCGTGTGCGCATGCGCGGACTCTATTTTCGGAGTCTTTTTCGGTCTCAATTTCTTACTTCCGGGAACTCTGTTTTTGGAGTTCGTCTAGACTGATTATGTATACCGGTAGTTGAAAAAGATATGCTTTGGTGTTCATTTTGTGTACTGAATACCAAAGGTTGTTAATTTACAAATTGACACTTTGAATGACTGAATAAGTTTTAAATTTTTATTATTTACTTAAAATGGTTTACGGTAATACAGAAGGAAAAAATGTGCATCAGATATAGAGATTACATCAGTCATGTAAGTTTGAAGGTTTCCATGGTAGACAGATTGTTTCACTTTAGCTCACCTTGACAATTTTAGGTGCAGGTCCATTCATAAGTAACTATAAGTATAAGCCATACTTTGAGTAAACTTGCACAGATGATGCATCCAGGGTTGCATGTTCACTACCAAAATTGCTTTGATGCTGCATTCTACATATTTCCCTAATGAACCACAAGGTTGATTTTTTTTTCTTTGTGCAAGCCTATTCTTTACTTATTCATTAACTAGGACAAACCCTCTCCTGAACAATCTTACATGAATGATGCACAAGGGATGCACATTAACATACTTTCTTCAGATGCTGCATCTGATTTATATTTGTTGGATACTAATATCGGACCAGTTTAAAAGGTTTTGGAGTAGGTCCATTTGAAAGTACATGTAACTATAAGCTATACCTAATCCAAAGTGAATGAATGAACATCTAGGGATATAAACCACCATACTTTTTTCAGATTATCTATAGATATTTTGCCTTCATAAATGGCCACCTTTGAAATTTTGGAGCAAGTTCATTCCAAGCTACAGTATATATATTATACATATACCTTGACCAAACTCACATGTGTGATGTACATAGATACTGTGGAATTGGTAGATTTAGTGGTGGCTCAATTTTATTTGAATTCATAGGTACCTCTTATCCATGAAATAAAATCCTCCACGAATTAATAAACTAGGGCTACAAAGTCATATTTCCTTTTTTAGGTATAAGAGAATACATGAAATTACGTTCCCACAAACCTGTAAAATTTAAGCAATCCACAAAAATCCCCCCCCCCCTGAATTTTTCTGATTCCACAGTATACATTCTACATACACATACTTGTTAAATGAAATACTAATAAAGATGAACTTACATATACACATATATTGAATGGATCTTATTGAACATTCATTTTGGTATTAGCCTTACCTATATATAGATATCATATGTCGAGGGAGTTTTATAATCTTTGAAGACCTGTGTTTTAAATTTCAGATACCGATAGACATTTTGTTCTAAAGCAAAAATGGCATATTTTTATATTGAAAGCCATTTAAGAGAATCAACATACAATTAAGTTACAAAAGTGACTTTTCAAATCAAATTTTATATTTTTGAAACAAATGGTACTTATTTGCAGTGATGAATAAATTCATGTTTACAAAGTGCAATTAGCTTCACACAAAGAATTCATGAATTATCTCTCCTTTAATATATGAATTTCAGAAGTGTTGGAGGCCTACACACAGTTTAAAGAAGAAGCAAGCGAGGCGGGATTTAAAAACTTTGTTCTTAAGTTTGATAACTGCTATGAGAAGGTAATCTCTCTAACATGTTTACATTAAAAACAATACAAGTGGAATAGGTTTTAACCATCATGTCTTGTTTAAAATTCTAAAATTATACTTGTTTCAGTGAAATATACAAGAGAAATAGTGTATCTTGTAATCTGTACAGATATAGACTTTGTCATTGAATAATTTTCTGAATCATCCACCTTATTCATCATTATACAGTAATTAGCAATGCCTTCTCTGAGTAACTCAAGCATTACGTCTATTTACAGGTGGATCATGCTGTTTCTCAGATCTGTGTATCAGAGGGAGAAGGTTTGTCATTACTCTGCTTTTTTAGCTCACCTGAGTCAGGCAACCTATTGCTAGCATTATTTTTCTTGTCATCATACAACATCCAGGGTCATAAACTTTGAACATTTTTAGCTTTTTTCCTGGAAGGACTGCACCAATTTCAGTCTATTTTGGTAAAAAACATTTAAGGGTAATGGGGAACACAATTTGGGAGTTCATGGTCTCTGCCACCCCGGGGTCATAGAAGTTGGGTCAAAACAATCAAATTTAATACAATCTTCAAACATCTTTACTCCTGGACATCTAATAGGCAAACTGTTGACATGATAATGATATTTTACACATTTCATGAAGCAGACTAATCAAGTTACATATTGTACTAAAAAAACAAACAATGATAATAGTGATAAATTACTCATTAAAGTACAGTATTTTTCACATGAGACCAAAATTCATAAATCATTAATGGTCATAACCTAACAACTCCTGATATTGAGGTGACCATAGGATCAAGGCAAATTAGCCTATTTTTTTAACCATTTTTGGAATATATGCTATGTTGTTCCAGTATGCACAGAAATTGTCCTTTCTAAAGTCAAATGTGATTGAAAATTTGGGATTTGTGATATATTGGACACAGCATGCTTGTAAAGATTTTAAACATACAATTCCAGGAACATTCCAGACAGGGATTAAAAAAAAGATGTCATTATACATGTACATGTACTTGTAAACCAAAGAGAGATATAAATAGTCTCTATTTAAGCTTAACCTTTAGTTCTTGTTAATGTACAAAATTTCTTATCTATCTTCTGAAAATCAGAATTTAAAAGGAAGCCATGCCACCTTGTAACTAGTGTGTCTCATTCAAACTTAAGGACATACGCAACGTAGTTTGAACTTTATTGTCTTTTTCCCTGGAGTTGAAGAGTTCCAATACTTAAAGGAACTGTGTGCTACATTTTAATGTCTATATAAGTTGTTGTACACTTCTTCTAAAACTAGTTTCGATAAACAAAATATCTAGAATATATGTTTAGTAATTTTTGTATATTTTTCTTTTAATTATACAAGAATTTTCTTCAATTGATATCTTTTCAAAACCCCTGGTAATGCATGCTGATTTTTTGTCTACGAACATCTGATGGCACTATAATCTTAAATTAAGAATATCTTAAAAAATTATCAGTAGGTAAGGTACGTTGCGTATGTCCTTAATCATAAAGAGAATCTGAAATGCAAGAAATTTCGAAAAATGCACAAAATTTTCACGCTAAGGACATAATTTCTTTGATCAGTATTACACAGCAATGTTATTTCGGTCTATAAAATAAGCATTGAATTATACTATCAAGTTATCAGAAAAGTAGTTCAAAAATAAATAATTTATATGGATTGCTATAGAATTTTTTTTTCATAACTTGCATAACAGAAAAAACGTTTTGTCATACGTAGGAACGAATTAAAAGTAACAAACTAACAATGCAATATCAGACATTTTTGCTAGTGTTTAGATCTGTAGAGGGTTCATCAATTTTTTTTCAATTAGACAAGATTTCATTTAGCCTGTTGTGTAGCCACGCGTAGTATACGCACGGGTCTTACCAGTTCCCCCAGAGTAAGAGAGAAATGGAGGGCATAAAAAATCAGATAACATGCCCGTAGCAACGGTTTCAAAAGGGGGAGGGGACTTCCTAAAATAATCTGGCAAGCAAAAAAAAAAAGAAAAAAAAAACTAAACTGACCAAAAGTGAGGGAGCCAACTCACCAAAATTATCTAACAAGCGAAAAAAGTGGCTAATTTACTATCCAAACCTAGAATTTGCCAGTGCTCGACCTAACAACATCAAAGGGGGGGGGGGCAGCATCTTAAGGAAAATTAACTATGGCAAAATACTATACTCGGAAAAGAGTGGGGGAGGGGGACAGCCCCCCCCCCTTCGCGTTCTACGGGGCTGAATACCAGTACTAAAAAAAGAATGCTGTTCAGGGTGCAAACACTGAGGGCTTTCAAAATATCAAGGACATATGCAAGGTAGTTTTGAACTTGATTTACTTATTCCGCGTATAATAACTGAAGGACCTTTGTGCGACTTTCATAATGCTTAGTGATGCTGCGCACCTCTTCCTAATCAAATTTAGAGGAAATACCAGCTAAAACTTCTGTAAACCAACTGTTAATCGCTTCATTTTTTTGGCGATTTGTCAGTTTGAAATCAATCCACGACGATTAAATTTCGTGACCGAGGAAACATTTTCTACAAATATAAAGCAAAATAAATAGGTCGCGGCGATTAATATTCGCGAGTAAAAAGTGGGTCACGAAACTCACGAATATTCATGCACGTGAATAAATTATAATCACAAAGTAGCATTTTTTTAACTTCTAAATTGATCCGAAAAGTTTGAGCATACCAGAAGGTTGAGCCTGGAAAACTTTCGATGTGCATGTACCTTTTTTATGTATTGTTCCGTGCGATATAGCATTTGTCCAACTATAATTAGTTACAAATGCAACAAATTAAAAAGCCCACCTTTCGGTCGATTTTAAATCGAAAAGATTCATTTCCCCGGCGGTAAAAGTGACTTTCCCATTTTTTATTGCGACCCCTCCCAAAGTAAAGGTTAGTTATGGTGGATCTAGTGGGAGATGGAACAATAAGGTGGTATATTTTATGCATTTTTAATCAAGTGGAGCATATATATGTTGCATATCCTTCATTGACTTTAAATTACATTATATTATTTTATACTTTTCGGATCAATTTAGAAGTTAAAAAAATGCTACTGAAGTGACAAAAAGCATTATATATGTAGACTATTTACGTAATATTACTAAAGTAAGCAATCCAGATGTATTATTTTTTTTATGATCTTCATTGTTTGACAGCCAGGAAGTGGAAAATACTCGTATAAAGAAGCATGGGGACAATTTTTAGTATCGACGGGAATAGGGGTGGGGTCAATTTCGGCAAAGATTAAAAAGGAGAGTTTTACTTGATTATTTGATTTAAAAGGCACTTGATGATGAAATTTGCATTATTTATTTGATTTTTTATTCAATTTAAAGACACAAATGCAACAAAAAGCCCTGGCAAACCTTTCGATCGATTTTGATTCAAAAGAATTTGATTCCCCGGACTTGAAAACGACTTTATTGCGATTCCCCCAGACGCGGTGGAATCTGTGTGTTGGATTTTTTTTAAGGAGGTGGAGGGGGGAGGGGTGTCAGGACCTAAACTCCATGTCTCTTCCAAGTGTTGATATTGACCCCTATCTACGCGTCTCTTTGCACTGCTAGTGACGTAAAAATAAATGGTAAAAGATTTATGTTATTTACTATTAAATTGGAAGTGCAACTTTTTGAAATATTAATCTGATGAAACATTTTGTTTCAGATTAACACATTTCTTTGGCTTTTCTCTGGATTAGGACGTCAAAAGCAAAATATGTAATCCGTGTACATATATTAACATGTAGATGCACGATGTCTAAGACTAAGTGTGAAATTCAGAAAACTTATAGAGAGCTACACTAGAAATATATTTATCAAGCAGAATATTGAATAAGAATTTCTGCAGACAATATCTTATTGTTTTTTAAAAATATATTAGAATCACATAGGCTGACGCATTCCCTCGACTTGATATACAAATAGAGTCCTTTCATGAGGTCGATCCATTGATATATAGACTTCATAGAAAAGCATATCGACTGAGCACGAAGTCGACCACTTTTCTTAAATTAGTGATTAGCTCAGTTTTAAAGATACCATTCAAGATAGTGTAATCAAACTTCATATGTTGATACATACTGATGAGAGCTTTTCAACTGCATCAATATTTTTTTGACCTTGGCCTTTCCTTTGACCTCACTTTTCTTAAATTAGTGATTAGCTCAGTTTTAAAGAAACCACTCAGGACTGTGTTACCAAACTTCATATGCTGATACATACTGATGAGAGCTATTCAACTGCATCAACATTTTTTGACACTGACCTTACCTTGGATCTTGACCTCACTTTTCTTAAGTTAGTGTAAAACTTCATATGCCATGCATACTGATGTAAGCTATTCAACTGCATCAACATTTTTGACCTTGACCTTTCATTTGACCTTGACCGCACTTTTATCAAGAAAACAATTCATGATATTTTTTATCAAACCTCATATGCTAATTTATACTGATGTAAGATTTTTATCTGCATCAACATTTTTTCACCTTTACCTTTCCTATGACCTTAACTTCCTTTATTTTAAATTAGTGTTTAGCTCAGTTTTAAGGGGGCCGACTGGGGTTTTCATTGCGCAATACTTCGCGCAGCATAGTAAAATAAAGCGTATTTTCTCTTTTAAAGCAACTATTTTTACATAATTTATAAAAATTAACAAATTTAGGAAATCTCAGGTTAAAAAATCTAATTACGTTTTTAAATAACTGATTTTTTAAGGGATTTTTTCAAATGATGGGTAGATAGACGTCGTAATAGTGTGTTTTTTACGTTATAAATAACCAAAGTTCTTTAAGTGGGGTCATTAATTATGTCATAAAATAAAAAATATAAAATAGATGCTCTTGAAATTTTAAACATAGGAAATTGAGAATATCACAATCATTTTTATTATTTTTTATGTAAATCTGTGGTATCTATCATGTTTTGTTGTACTCCATAAAAAGAGTAAAATATCATGAATTTTGAGATGCCCCCTCTGGAAACCAGACGGTAGAATTTTGTGTTTCTTGCATAAAATGTACAATATAGTATTACCCATCAAATAATATAATTTGAGCAAAAAGTCTATAGTAGTATTTGTATAATTTGCTCCGAATATTGCGAGAAAATTGTATTTTCCTATATAATCCTATAGTAAATGTACCTGTATTTTGAGATGGTCCCTAAAAAATAACCAGACGGTAGATTTTCACTAAACTTGGCATGTATACTGAAGTCAATGTAAGGTACATATGGTTTAAAATTAAAGAGTTTCTCTACAGTAGTTTCACACAAGAAAACCCCAGTCGGCTCCCTTAAATACACCATTCAAAATATTTTTCTCAAACTTGATATGCTGATACGATTCAACTGCATCAAAAATGTTTGACCTTGAACTTTTCTTAAATTTGCATTTTGCTTAGTTTTAAGGAAACCATTTAGGATATATCTGTGTAAGCTTAATTTGTATTTGTGTAATACATAATTTGGTGAGAATTTATCATCTATATCCAACTTTTTAGATTTCAATTTTAAAGAAACTATTCAAGATATTCTCATCAAATTTCATACACTAATACAAATTTTCATGTTGCATTACTAATATACCCTCGGCGGGGCATTCATGTCCTATGGACATATTTCTAGTTATATTATTTTTTAAAGAGATTAACAACACAAATTTAATTTGAAAAAAGAATAAAGTTTTCATCTCTCTTTTAATACATAGACACTAGACATCAAAACAAAATAAGCTGTTTTAATGATATTGTGTATCTTTTATACTGAATGAATAATTTAGGGAATGTAAAAATTGAAATGCTAATTAAAATTTGTTCGATTGTTTTTGTATAAATTTATGCTTGATATATTAAACATCTATGTTATCACTGTACAGTAGAGCTACACTCAGTGCATGGTTACGTCATACCCTTTATAACGTCACAATTACAAAGAAGGAGTTGGTGTATCTGTTTTTAGAAAGTCCGGATCTATCCGAGTTTTTAAAGTTTATTAAGTTCTAGAAAGTCCAGGCCCAGGGATTATGAAATATCTTAAGCTTAAGTCAAAATCTTTACGTTGTACAAAAATGTTGTAGAAGTCAAGCAGACCAAAATTAAAATATTTTTCAATATTGCTTCACAAAAGTGTTGTTATCTGCAAATTTGAAGATTAATTCAATAATTAATAAACATTTTACAGGCGATTGAAAATTTAACTTAAGTCTAAGTCTGTTTCATGATCCTAGGGCCAGGTCTCCAGGTCTACCTTGACACGTGATGCCAATCGAACCCATGACAAATCTCATTACAATGTATGAAAACAACATCTATATATATATATATATATATATATATATATATATATATATATATATATATATATATATATATATGAATTCTTTAATTTGCTATTATGTTTCAACCGGAAAAATGTAAATACACATATCTCACAAGGTATTGTGCTTTGGGCGTATGGATTTTTGAATTCTTTTCAATAAATTATTGATTGATTATTGTTTGTTTGATTGATTGATTGTATGTATCTCTTAAACAGAGTTTTCGGAGTTTGGTGAAACATTTCTCAGGGACATCGATAAAAAGATCAGTCAGTGTCAACATGTGCGCGATAAGGCTTCAAGAGAAAGGGAGGAACTCAAAGCACAGCAAGAAAAATTGGAAGATGAACTACGGTCCTTTCTTGACGAACAGGAGCTGAAGTATAAGGAACATTTCAAAACAAATGCTGAATCTGATTCTATTCCACCAGTCACAGACGAGGTGGTGATTTTCATGAAACCATCGGATACATCTCTGGTTGAAAAGCAAAACAATGTAGTAGTGGTCGATTCATTGATGTCGGATTTGAGTTTGGACTCGGGTAGAAGGTCAAATCTGAAAACTGATCGAAAACCGGACTCGAAAAAGAAAACACTGTTCCATGAAGAAATGAAATCCAGTAAATCTAATGACCCCCAGTTGGAGTGTAGAGATGATAGCACTATGTCTAGTGAATGTGTAAGTACTGATTCTGCTTTGCCACCTCAAGGAAAGGTGCCAAAAAGGACGAAAAAATTAGTTCCTAGTGCCTATGTACCAAACAGAACTCTTCAGTTACGGAGGTCGGGAAGTTTAAACAGTATTGATAAGTCTAACTTCCCAAACGGTAAACTAAAACCGATAGATTCTGAGAAAGAGAAAAGTGATATTAGTACTGCAGATGATAAGAAAGCTCAAGGAACTATCTCAGAAAAGGGACATCCGAAAAGGAACCGGTCTTTATCTAAAACAAGGACACCGTTCTATTAATTGTTTGGAGAGGTTTGACACTGCTTTTTAGGTCCCCAGAGTCGCACGGGTGGGGTGTTGCTAAAACGCGGAACGGAAAGCGGAACAGAACGGAAAACGGAATATATTATTTTAGATTAAATCACTTAAAATACACAAATTTTATCATAAACGATATATCTTATACATATTCAATCCCCCATTATTAAATACAAGTTGATTTGGTCATGTTCAGTCTCTTATTCACGAAAATCGCTGACATAGCAGTGACGTAGAATCGAATTTGAAAGTGGGGGGAGGGGATTAAATTTACCTGAAAAGAATTTGAAAAGCGAAAAAAAAGAAGACAATTGTTTGATTCGGGAGGGGGGATAAGTACCAACTCCATCTCCAACATCTTTCAGTTACTGTACTATTTTTTTACACTAACTTACTACATTAATTACATTAACAAAAAGTGTGGGGGTTTCAATGAACATTTCTGTGGTAAAAAGGTTATGTCTGGAAAAAAAAGGGGGGCAAATATTTGATATCTAGATGAACCATGGTAAGAGAAATAAAATGTAAGAAATTCTTAAGATTACGATTAGAGCAAACCTTTCCGACATGAACACCTCTAATGTAACACTGGTTGTTAAAATTTTATACAGAAAAGAGTCGCTTCCTATTTATTTAAATTCCGGATAGATAAAGTTGGAAAACTTTTCTGTGGTAAATTTAATGTAGCATCTTTACATTCAATAAAGTTAAAGTTTGTTTGTATGTGGTACATGTGTGTGTGTGTGTGGGGGGGGGGGGTGTTATATGAATGACCCCGTAAAACATTTGACTTTGTTTTCCGCTCATCGGAAAGGTCTGAGAAGTTGCAAAAGGTCCGCCCCCTCTCCTTTTGTGTCCAAAATGTACATAAGATTTAATAAATCAATTTTTTGGTGTGGCTGTGGGGCCCTACCCCGACCCCAAACTCCCCCCCCCCTTTCAAGATTCCTGGATTCGCCATGTACATACTAGTAGTCTTTTTTTCCTTCTGCCTATTTCAAGACAATATATTTTTTAGGAATGAATTTAAAAAAAAAAGAATTTGTACGAAACGTTCAGATGGATACTCAGGATTTGAGTCTAGTTATAGTATGTATTTTATAGACCATCGCATTTACACGTGCCAGTTCTGAGGGTGTGCATGATTCATGAATATATCATAGTTTACGATAAATTTTTATTAGATATGACTTTTATATAAAGAATATTGCTTTTATATCTGATTTTTATCGAATCTAGGTTATTTGTTTGACCTAAATTTTCTGTTTTCCGTTCCGTTCTGCTTTCCGTTCCGTTTTCCGTTCCGCGTTTTAGCAACACCCACACGGGTGACCTATTGCCATTTGTTTTCTTCCGTTGTGGTGCAGTGTGCATCATTTGAAAAAAGAAAATCAGCTTCTGAAAATGTTGACCACTTTCGTATAGTATAACATCTATGAATGGAAAGGAACAACAATTGTCATGGTCTCTCCCCCATCCCCCACCCCATCTACGGGCCCGAGGGTAAGCCATAACCATGAAAAATTAATGGAAAAAAATTACGACTGGATACTTAGCAAACTTATCGTTTGACAAATTATGTGGAACCTTAACCAATATAGAGAAATTCAATTGTGCCAGCTAGTCCTTGGGTTTGACTGAATGGGTCTTATATTGAGAATTTAAATCATTGAATTTTTTTAACACCTAGACATCTTAGCAAAAATTGTTACGTGATTTTTATGAGCAGTTAATAAATTTCCCCCAAAATTGTGAAATTTATGTCCCCAGGCTCTCGAGTCCATGTCCTAGGTGAGGGCTTAGTTGGTTGTATGATATTGTATATTTGTGAAGATCTTTACTTCTGAGCAAAGTAGAGAAATGTCATGCATTGTTATATTGTACAATTCTTCAAGTTATATTGTTCTTCTCTGGGGTTGAGGGTGTTCTTTTTGAGAAAGTTTTAATTCTCAGATGACCACCAATGCATGTGATTTTCTTTTTAAGAAAAAAAATCCTTGACTCACTTTTATTTTGTGTCAAGAATTTTATTTTTACATATCAATTTAAATCCATTAAACTCCATATTTCTATATGGGGTATGAAATTAATTCTGTTAAATGTAATTATTCTAAATAAGACTGATATCTGTGCACCTGGAACTTAATTTGTGTGCATTAAAAGTATTTTCCAACAAACCAGCCAATGCAGATTTTTATCACAATTTGTTGTGAAAATAGCAGTGGAAAGGTGAGTAGCTGGTGTGTTATTTGTCCCAGCTTTAAGGAATATCAATAACAGTATTAGAACTAGAGGTTAAACTGTACATCAACAGCTGGTCATTCTATAATTATAAGTTTTTAGTCTTGATCAAAGACCAAAATTTTATGGAACTCTTCAATTACAAAATTGTTTTCGTTTATCTGTAACATAATCTGATATTACATCACAGGAATACTGTGTAGAGTTGGGTAAGGTATAGGCTGTGGTCCAGCAATTATGTTTATAATGCATGTATAATTAAGCATATATTTATACAAAGCCTGTACTTTATTTATCAATGTAGATTTTAATTGTTCTATCATACTATCTATTCAGTAATAATTGGTATTCAATAGAAAAGGGTCTTGTCGTTTATATTGAAAACTCAGATAAAATATATCAAACACTTGAAACCATTCCAATTTTTTTGGGAAAATTTTTATACAAGTATATTAGTTTTAGTTTTAGTCAATAATCTGCACCCGTATTCGATGGCATATTTAAATAGATTTAAAACATAACTTTGTGTTGAATTTATTATTAAAAGTTTTGTCAATCATATTACAACGTTTTTTTTATTGATTACAGAATATTCCAGACTACAAAAAGGACTGTTTCTTATTTCCCATGTTTTTTATGAATCTGGAGAGGTTGTCTATGTGTGCTATCCCTCTTTATATTTTGCGAGGGAGTTTTATATTTAGTTTATTTTCCCCCCATAATTTTGAATTTGTTGACTCGTTATTATTTTCCAATTTATCTTAGCTTAATGATCTTTATTGTGAATATTTACACAAGGTAGTCTTTGTTTTTGTATCCAATAAAACTATCGATTTGGTCTCCTTTTTTCCCCTAAAAGAGTTGGTACCTTTTTTTATATAACCTTGATGTTAGTAATTTTATACTAAGTTTACCTGGAGCACGATCTAAAATAAAGTGATATCTCGTATATAGAGAGTAGATAAAGATCCCATTGTTGTCCGAACAGAAAGGGATAACAAGACTGTCTTTCAATAAGAAATCATCCGGAAAACAATACTAGAATATATCTAACATCACAGCCGTGACAAAATGCCTCCAAATTGAAATCAAACGAGCTCTTTTGTTTTTCCTCTGAATCCGATTTCTCAAATTTCGCCAAAATCCACCAAGCGATTAATACTTAAGACTAAGAAGATATTTTGATAATCGTTCGACTTGGTGTTTTAATTGCGCTGAATAGTTGAAATATTTCACTTTTTGAAAAAAGCAATGAAAAGAAAATAAAATGATAGTTGTTGAAACTTTACGTCTTTCTTATTAATGCGTATCTGTTTATGTGATGGTGGCTTTTGTGTATCATAGAGGTCATACTAAAAAAAATAGTAGAATTTTTCGATCTTTATTTTAAACGATTATTTCATTATGTTAAATTTAAATTTTTTTTACATTTGTATTTCACTTATGAAATGCAATTGTCTTTGAGTAATATTTCTACCTTATTAAACTGTTTGTCATACAAGTACTGTAGGCAATTTTTTTTCACAAGAAATGCACTTGGTCTTAATGTATGAACTCATTGTAGATATTTATAGATTAACAGATAAATTAATTGGAATGAAATAGCTGTTAGCACCATGGATTTAAGGACAGATAAGTATGTTTATAAGATAAAATGACTCCCCAATAAATTGAATTATTAAGCGTGTAGACTACAGGGGCCTTGATTAAGAGAAGATTGCCGAGCTAAATCGGACAATATCACGCCGATCAAGGTTTGATATTGTACGATATAAAACAGAACTTGTTTGCCGTTCATATCTGTGCTTCCAATGGAGATCTATCTATTTAATCCAGTGGCGTATTTCATCGTGTCAAGTATATATTGTCTTGGATAAAAAGATTCATTTCCTGATATGTTTGTTTATCTTGGACGTGTTGAAATTTGGTACAATTCTAATACAAAATGATAAATATATCTGGACTTTGGAATCAAATCTTCAAATTAGTGTTTAATCTCAAAGCGTATTGAATTTGCTGTGGCCAAATAAAACTTTGGCAAACCTGCATCTCTTTACTTTGAGAAAACAAGTTGCTCTATGTATTTGTTTCTTTGAATAATGCGAAAAATGCCAATCTGAACAATAAATAAAAGTAAGAGCTTACATATGAAACGTACCACAATTAAAGAATTTGCATTATTTTATATTCAATACAAAAACAAAGTTCAAGAAAACAATTAGAATGACGGAGAAAATTCGGTCTTTTGATGTAAAAGATGAAGATAACGAACGGTGATCAATTTCATAAATCCAGTAAAAGAACGAATCGTGAAAAGAATAAAAACACGGACCCCTGGAAACACCAGAGGGAAATCAGGTGCCTATATGAGGAGTAAGCATCCCCTGTCGACCGATCACACTCGCTGTGAGCCCTATGCATTGATCAGGTAGACGAAACATTCCGTAGTCAAATTTAGTATAAAAACAAAGGCCTAACAATTGGTATTAAACACGTCAGACAAAATACAACCCAACGATATGTTGTAATTAGGTCATTATAACGCCCGTTGAATTTGCGAAAAGCTGACTTTAAACGGGGTTGTTGAAATCCTTATAATGTCAACTTATTTGTCAGTAGTCTGCCTCGGTTTAAAAATTGATCGTACTCAGAGCATGCTCTCAAGTATCGAATCAGTTTGAAGACATGAACACCAAATGCAAGTGATGAAAGAATGTTATACGTAAGGAAGGAAAGTTGACGATGGAAAAGCTGAAGTCATCTTGTTTGTTATACCGTTTAGTTGTAGTTGGCCCTTATCGTCTATAGTCAGTAATACATGTACATCATATTTTGATAGTCTCTCTGGTATTTTTTATTTCGAGTTTCCTGGGATATATCGAGTCGACATATGCCTGGAAGTAACGTTGTTAAAGTTGTTAAAAGATAAAACGATATAATCGATATATCTAATGTCGAGTTGAAGGCCACTGAAATAGTTTTCTTCTCCTCCTGTTGAAGTTCTTGAATCAATTCTGCTTCATAGGA